AAAAAAATCTGTAAATTCTGGAGGGAAGGGGGGTCTCCATAAACCTCCCTGGAACAGAAATTCTGAGTGGATGGGTGGTTAAAAATAAAAAACGTTTGGTAGTCTGACTGGCAACATGCAAAGGCACATATACTGTATGTAAGAGCCATGGTACTTTTTCTTTTTACAACTTTTTTAGGGTAGCATTGAATTGGGGGCACCACTTATTCAAAAATTGGGTACAACAAAACTCTCTTTTAATTCAAAGGTAATAATGAGAGGTTCATTGCTAATCATTTATTTCATTGATTCTATGTCTCGTCTGTGGGCTGCGCTTATTCGTAAATTGGTCCGGGGGGGGGGGGTAGGGTCAAAAATCTTTTGATTTAACAATACATTTTCTACCTGGTATAATTAAATTACAGTAGTTTTTAGAGGTGTCTTTTTATTGTCACCATCTCTTCTAGGCATTTTTCAATTGCCTTACGGGTAGTCTCTTCACTCAACTGCAGTCTCGCTGACCCCTTCTTGCTCTGTGTCTCTGAGCTCCAGCAATCCAGTGGTCCCTAAAGTGGTAGGCTTCCCTCACTAATGGAAAGAGTTTCTTAAGTGGGTTATGTGGTTTGTTCAAGAATTGGCTTAATATTATGGACTGCAACCTTAATCCAACAGTTTAATACACTTACACATTTGCCATTCCAACAAAATCATGCTCAAACCAAACCCGAGATGCATCACACACTTTTCACCAGGGGCAGATCTAATAATTTTTGATTGGGGGGGGGTGCAAACTTTGGTTCAGAAATTAAGGACTGTTGGACTCTTTTGAGTTAAGTTACTTCTCCCCCCACACCCCCTCCCACCAGTTGCGGTTGCACGTTATAATTCCTTGGCCGCTTACTGTTTACTTGGATTCTTTAAAAAGATCAGCCAGTTAAAAAGTGATATATGATTCTGTTGTTGTAAGAATTTCAGTTTCAAAGTTGTAAGCATCAGATCTGTCAGGGGGGACTGGACCCCTGGACCCTCCCCCTGGATCCGCCACTGCCTTTCATGCATTACATAGTGACAACTAACACTCAAGATATCCAACTGTTTATGTATTGAAGTTTTTGAAAGAATTCTTAGAGTTAATGCCCAATCTGAGACATACAGCTTATAATTTCTGTCTCAAATGCAGCATTTATTTGGGGTGTGTGCTTGTTCATGTATGCCGGTAAAGTTTTGCCATCATCCTTTAGTCAAAGTGATATTTATATAAAAACACTAAACTTCTTGCTACTGCAAATAAAAAGCCAAAAGCTGGACAACACCCTCCCCTTTGCTAAATTATAATCCTAAAATTTTTAAGGTATGATGAACTTTCATCTCAGAAAAGATCTATGGTTATTGAAGAAACACTGAATTTTTTCAAATACTGTTGTAAAACTTGTTGAAGGAAAGAACTTATTATTAAAGGTGTTTAATTTTGCACTGAGAATGGCCTATTTATTGTGCATTTATGGTTTTACCTGTTCAAGGTGCATGGCATCATGATTTACCGTTGTCTCAGAGCATAAGGTTGTTGAATTGTAAGACCAGAGTATTCCTTTTACAGTTCTCTAGATAAAGGATTTTGGTAAGTTTTGCTTATAGTGTACTGGAACTCCCACCCACCCAACACTGCAACAAAATTAACAAATCATATCATAGAAAACAAATAATGGTGCCAATTAAATTTAGTTATGCTAATCAGTGTTTGAGAGCAAGACAAATGTTGATACCAAAGAACTTAGAAGGATGGTAATTCATGGCATGTTTTATGAGATCAGACTGGTCAGTTGATCACAACCACCTTGGTTACAGTAGCCACACTACTGAGCGTGATTTTGTATGAAAAAATGGAGTAGAATCAAATTATTTTGGCTACTGAAGAAAGGAGTGTTGTTGAGAAATAAATCTGGTAATTTTTTTTCTGGAACTTGCTTTTCAAAGGTGAGAGGAAAATAGTTAGCTTCAGACCCTAACCTGATCTCCTTTCCAAATCCTGCCATGGCTGCTAGCCTCTTGGTTAAAGCTCTGATTATGGGACTGCCAAGGATCTGGGTGCAAAGCTCAAGAGGAACTGGAAGTCACCCACCTTTTATAATATTTTTTCTTCGGAGTCGGGGGTTATGACTCATTTCAGATACAGAGCTCATTAATTGCAAAGTAAACAACAGGTAAAGGAAATTAAAGGCTATTGTGTAATTGTACCAACCATTTTAATCAACCTTTCATTTGATTCCATGATTATAATAAAGGTCATTTCTAAACCAAAAGCCCCCTGTTTGAAATGGAGACCCTGCCTAGGCACAAGATGAAAGATTTTACTGATGTTGAAACATCTTAATTTCTCCAACTCTATGCAAATAGAAAAGCTGGTGTAAGCTAAAGCAGAGCAATAAGTCTAGGTTGCAGTGAAAGAGGAAACTAACTTTAAATTGACGAAGTTTTTTTTTTATATAGGAATTTTTCTGGTCAATATTTCATTGTCTTTCTCTTAACCCTTTAATCCCGAAGAATGACCAAGACAGAATTTCTCCTTACAATATCAATACAATATCTAGCAGACAAGTGATGAGAATAAAGCAAAATATCCATAAGGGGATTATTAGTTGATCCAATACCAAATTCTCCAAACAAACATCAACAATTGTATGGCAGACGGTAAGGAGAATTACTGATGAGATCAAGGGGGCTTAATGGCTAAGAGTTGACTCTGATGTCCTATGCTTACAAGAATTAAAAAGCCCATGGTAACGAGTCATTGAAAAAATAACTTAATGATATTTTTCAATCAAACAAAACTGCATGAAACGTTTGAAACACGTGACACATGAGAAGTAGTAAACCCTATTTATTACACGACTCGGGCTGTCAGAGGGCCAATAACTAAAATCAGCCAATCAAAATGCTCTATTACCGGTCAATATTCTCTCAGTATTGGACCGGGCACTGTCCCGGATGATACCGCACTTGTGTCCCTTTGAAATTCAGTCGTATAATAAATCTCTTATTAACCAAGCTTGCTCGGGACCGTACTGGAAGAATATCGGCCCTCGGTCTTTTTTGTACGGACCTCGCTGCGCTCGGTCCGTGCTGTCTAGACCTCGGGCCGATATTCTCCCAGTACGGCCCTCGCACTTGGTTAATAAGAAAAATATGTGTAATTGTATTTCTCATATGACATGAGGTCCGTTTTGGGAAAAGGAAAAGCTCGTCCCAAAAACCGACCTTCCAACTGGTAAGCTTTCCTTTCATTCGGAATTTCAAAGTAGTTGGCCATATTTAGGCACGTCTATTGGGTCAATTTTGGAAATGCGTAACGCGTCTCAGGTAGGAGAGAAATACAAGACGAATATGACAGAATAGACGATCTATTAATTTAGCCTGTGGGTAGGGGGAGAACAGCGCAGGGCGAGCAGGGACAAAATTTAATGTGAGTCAAGCGTGAGTGGTAAACGAATTACACGCGAGGGGAGGGGCTACTTTGCGCGTCTCGCGCATTGCGTTTACCTCTGCTGATCCGAAAAACGCAATAAAAGACCACTGTTCTGCAGAATAAGTTAACCCTGGTAAACTTAAAATAATGGTAGCCTGTATTCTAAGAACACCTTGCGAGCAGGCTCTTAATCAGTGCTGCGACATAAACGTCGAGGAACGAGCTCGAGACGCGCGCCTTTCCCGCTGCTCAAGGTTGCCGCTTTTCCAGCCGGGCCAATGAGAATTTGCTTGTATACCAAAGGCTGTGTTTACATGATGGTCCTCATGCAGTGCTTACCAGTGCCCAGGTGATATGCTTGTAAGACTGTGCGCATAATGCACCTCTTCAATGCGTCTCTGACACAGACGACTTTGATATACGTGCACTAGATTACAGTCCACAGTTATTCAACGAAGAGAGGGTAAACATGGAGGAAATTTACCCAGCTGCAAAGCCTAGAGGTGAATATCTACCCCTTACCCACACGGAGGGGAATAATTGTTTTTGTATGTACCACAGAATCACTAAAAAGTCTTAGTTTTGTTTAGAAGTATGATCGCGAATTAAACTCTTGAAGCGCGATTTTGTCACCTCAGAGGAGGATAGCCTTTGATAATCACTTCCCAGCTGGCCAATTAGCGCACGCGATTAACACTATTAACCCACGCAGTATATATACCGAAGGGAGAAAAAAGTATTGCAGCTCCACTGAAATCTCACTGATTCAAGAGAAAAAAATGACAAAACGGAAAAAAGAATTTGAAAACATGATTATCATTCCCGAAGTATACATCTTATAAAAAAAACGAATTGAAAAAATTTACAAAATATAATTGATTGTTAAAATGTATCGTCAAAAACATCATCATGATTTAGCAAAACAGCGTCGCAATTTATGTTATCTGATCTCATAAAAACTCCTAAGATTTCCCTTAAAGAAGAAATATATCTGCCTATGGCATCGCAGCATATTGCAAGCAAGTAATGAATGTACTGTTAAAATAAACGCCTGAGTCCGCCTGAGTGGTCGCTTGAGTTAGTTCAATCTCACTTATAGCCTTTCTTTAGCTACTATAAGAGACCAGAGAGTTTCCATGGTAACTGCATAGGTGACCGCTGATGCACCATGACACACTTGAAAAACGAAGCTGACAGTTTCACTCTATCAAAGGAATGAAATATTAAATACAGTAATTTCTTAAACAAACGTTTACAGAAAGGACTGATAAGGTTGTAAATAGATCGCTCGCTCCACGGTTTTGTCTTCTCTTCAGTCATAAAGTAAATTGCTGTAAACACAGACCTGGCCACTTGTTCATTTGTTTTGGTGTTTGTGTTTTAAGTAAAAGCTCTTTGATATACTATTCCTCTATCACAGCGTGAAGTAAAGTTGTAAACGATTCATCACAATAAAGATACTTGTGTCCAGGAACGCACGTAATAACGAAACTGGCAGGTTTGACGAAATTTCGTGAAACCGAGTGAATGTTCATGGATTTGACGATTTTTGGCGAGTTTTAGACAAATTCGTCAAAGCGAAGAATTAACGGTTTTGACGAATATTAGTCAAAAGCAGCTCGGCGGATTTAACAATTTTGACGAATTTTCACGATAAGGTTATGACTAGCCTCACACCGTTTAGAATTGACAGCCTATCTGAAAGACAAGGATCGCTTACCTACAAACCTCTCCTTATAAAAAGAAAACTCAATCCTTTTTTTTAATTTTTTTCCAACTTACCTACACAACGCGGGCAGCATTCATTATCATCCTTGTCATATTCCTCACATAAAACCTCTTTGCATATTTCTTCATTACACTGAACTTCTCCGTCCTAAACAAAACAAAGGTTCACTTCTTTTGATGCCAGTTTGATATCTGCAAGCATAATGAAAATCCCCTCCCACCGCTCCCTCCCTTTTCCTCTCAGTTTAAGCGGTGTTTACTCTTTACAGGTCACAACTTGGTGTATGATCACCTTAAACTGACTTTAATCACCCTGGTCGGAGGGTTTATCTATCATCCGAAGATATAATTCGCATCCACGCGAGGCCATGAAATATCATCTTCGTGTCATATAAATAACACGTTATAAAGGTAGAGTAGCACATAATATGAACCGCCTCCCGGTTAGCTCAATGAATAGAGCGCTGGACTGTTGTGCGGGAGGTCGAGGGTTCGAGCCCCGGCCGGTCCAACACTCAGGGTCTTAAAATAATTGAGAACAATTTGCTGCCTTTCCATAACATCAAGAAATAGTTAGATATTCTAGTCTTCTCGGATAGGGACGAATAAATGGAGGTCCCGTCTCCTGCCGGGGTGGGATGGGTGGGTTTATTGGGTCCGCAGTAATTGGCGCAAGCTGTTGCGGTGTCCCTGCCGGTTGGCGAAGCGATTAAATCAATAAATCAATAAATTAATAATTAAATCAAGTACAGATGGTAATACCTAGAAAAGTTTTAGACGAACCGCAAATCACGGCAAATACAGGAGTCCAGAAGAACATTTTCAAACTACACAGCAATACCAGCAAAAACAGAAGATTACACAGCAATACCAGCAAAAACAGAAGATGAGGAGGGTCTTCTGCATCACACAATAAAGTGATTGCTCTGAATTTGAAGATAACGAAAACAAAGTCACTTACTTTGCATGAACAACGAGTACAAACATCTTTTTGCCACGTTTCACCCTCTTGACGAGCTATGCCTTGAACAACTCCACAACCTCTTTTTTCTTTCGTTGTTGTTTTTTCTTTAGTTTCTCCCACCTGTTTAAAAAAAAATCAACAAATCAGTTTAAATTTTCTATTACAAGTAAAACGGGCAGTAATATTTTAAGTACAAAACTATTCAATATTCCAACTTTCACTCGCTTGCCGTCTTATTTGCCAAAACTGAGAACGCTTGAACCCTTTTTTTTTTCTTTCTGACACGATCAGGAGAACACGAAAAATCATCTTTCTAAACTTCATCATAGAGCTTATAATTTGCCATCCTATTCTAATGACTCACACGAGGCGTATAACATTTGAACCTTGAAGTGGCCTTACCCACCATTAAGTCTCGGCGGCTCAATTGCACAACGTCAAGGCGCGGAATCCGAAGGTTTGAGTTTCGATTCCTCGTAGGACATTAGAATTTTTTCTTTGTTCCACGCTTGTCACAAACGGATAAAACATCTCAACTGATACGTTTTAAGATGATGGCCAATTGGATTTTTTAAAAAAAACCCTAATTTTGATGAAGCACTAAGTCTAATACTAAATTCACACGTTTACGGGCCAAGCAGGGGACGGACGCAATCTTGGTTCAAATCATGACTTGATGCACACGTCTTTTAGACGTTTAACACGCGTATAATACGCATGATACTTTTCTCATTATGGTGCTTAGAATCAGCTCTTACACAACTTCTCAGGACAGGCACTCACCCGTTTTTGAAGACTGTTAAATGCGTCTTCTAATCTGGCCAAAGTGTTAGCCATGTTTGCTACTGTATTTTCAAGAACTTGAACTCTTTTCTTCAAACTCGAGATGTTTTCTTCCGAAGGAATTTCAATTCCATCTTCTTTTTCGTCCCCGGTCGGCGACATGACAAGCTTTTCTTCTTCATCCATGTTCGGCTCATTATGTTCTTCTTCTTCCTCCTCGAATTTTTGCTCTTCGGTTTCAGAGGGATATTCCTCCACTGATCGCTTAAACAGACGCCCCTGAATATGGTTGCTTAACGTGGGGGTGTTATCTGGGGTGGAGCAATGGCCTGTTGATCGATTGGAATGCGTAGTTAGCAGGTCTTCAAATCAAGTTAAGAAAGCTAAGGTGGCGATATTGCTGGACACTACTCTGTCCTAATACCACTCCGGCACTTACCCTCCTTCTGTATGTAAGAACGTAAAGCGTTTTAAGGATCAGTGTTGTGTGCGTGAAAGCAGGTGATGTAAGTTATAGCCAGCGCGCCATGTTGGATATTTTAAAATGTTAGTACTGTGAATTTTGTGATTTGTGTTAGTAGACCTTGAAAAATAAATAAAATAAATTTAACACATCGACAATGGTTTAGCGTGGTCTGTACTCTTTTCGACAGCGATGTTTTTCATTACAGTGGTCAAAATGTTGTGGACTCACGAGGCTGTCCGCAATATCAACGTCCAATTAAACCATTCTTTCAGTACGTGACACGTTGTATGACACGTTGTGTGACATATTGCGTGACATATTGCGTGATACGTTGCGTGACACGTTGAAGCGAGCAGTGCTCTCTGTACTCTTATCAATAACGGCAAATTGGCCAATCAGGTAGTTACATTACTGCCAATTGTGGTAAAAAGAACTCATTGCAACATCAACGTGATAAGAGTAGAGCCATGGGAACAATTTCAAAGAAGAAGTACATCAGTTCATGTTAAGTCCCAGTCCCACGCGAAAAACGTATATGAGGTTACATTATCTAGGTGACTTGATACAAACCATGCTCGCAATATTTCCACATGCGGAGATCCATACGGGGAATGGAGGAACACGACACATATCCCTCGGGGTAGGTGGCGCGGAGAAAAACGTCCCGCTGAACCCGGTCAATAGCATCCCCGTTGTCACATAACACGCTGGCCAACGAGGTTTGCTTGATTTGAATCAACTGAGAATGATCAAAGGTGGATGGGCTTTCATACCAGAATCTGATGGAGGAGGAAAGACGTTAGATATTCTGACTTTCAGGAAGTAAGGTCAGAGTCTTTTTCTAAATTACGCCGTGCCAGTGAAAGGGAGCCCGTGGCAATATTCTGCGTCGTAAACAGACGTCTTTGAATATCGTGAAAAACTGAAGTAATCGTTTGCCAACGGGGACAAACTCCAAACAGATAGTGTTATAGAAGGAAGTAGGGAGGAAGATTGAAAAATGGCAAGGATTTACATGGATTCCAATTGAAGAACTCAAAACATTTCGGCAAATTTCTTTGAATGGATAAAATGTGACAGAGCACCTTGTAACAGAGGTGAAGTTTAATAATGAGTTACCTTTTATTGCAAAGATAAAGGGATTTTCCTCATGCAGTAAAAGGACTTAATAGGTCTTGGCTGCAGCAGTTGTGAGTTAGATTTCATAGTGTGAGATTTCAGTCGGCCTAACGGAAACCGAGAGAGAAATTAAGGTTTAAGCATTGCTTTCTCTCGGCCATTCGCTTTCCGATTGATTTTTTCACCACCGTGATCTTTAAGATCAATTTTCCTTGTTACCTTCCACATATTTCTCATAATTCATTATTAGGAAATAATGAGTTAAATCATACAAAACCCATGCGTTGTTATTTTTGTCATTTGCATCACTAAGAAAAAAAACTGAGTTATTCTAGGTCACTAATCATTCAGTCAGTTTATCGATATCTTAGATAACCCCTATAACAAGCTACTATTCACGAAAGGAGTCTGCGCAGAGCACTTCGCTCGAAAGAAAAATGCAAATTCTTCCTTACCTTTCTCCCGCCCTTGTTCGTCTAAACTGTTCAGCAATGATACAAGTAAAAGTTGGTCCCACAAGGGCACCAGGTGCCAATTCCTCCAGGAGTCCTCCTACCCATAAGTCGATGTTTGACGGATGTTGATATAGCTCTTTCAACTTGGCGCGAATATCGTCATCCACAATCTCGTTTTTAAGATCGTCAAAGGTTTCTACCACGGAAAGGTTGCAAAGACCGCGCCAACTATTGTATCCTGCAAGAAATAGGTCAACAATATTCTTTTTTACAAATTATACCGGCATACATAATTTAAATTAATCGAAGAAGGATGAATTAAAGACAAGAAAGTTGATTTTTTAAGCAGTTCATTTGTCGCCTTTTTTATACGAGAAATTTCGCCGAAGTTAGTTACACATATTAAGAGTTCGTGAGAGGGAAGATTGAGGAAATATTTAGAAGAACCAATGGAATTCCAGTAAAAATAGGGCAGCGTATTGATAAACTGGGTTATCAAGCCAATTATGAGAAGGCTAGTAAGTTACAAAAAAAAAAAATTAAAAGAAAGAATGAAATAAAGACAGCAAAAACTGTTTTAATCTTGGTTGCATGCTTTAACACTAACCTAAATAGACCATACACCAGTTTTATGTGACACTTACCCGGCAGACTGCTTATCACAATAATTAACATTTCCTTTTGAGACGGTAAAGTGAGGCAGGTCTGCAAAAGATATCATCTCACTAACCTGGTAAAGCATGATCCCGTCCTCGCTGTATGTTAAGGGCACCAAGATCGAGGGCTACCTCGTGAGCCATTTCAAAGAGCCTCTCTGTGAGGTCTGAATTTATAAGCTGGTGCTTGTCATCTCGACTCTTGGCGGCCCTCCCAAAGAGCCCGCGCAAAATTGGGTCTACTCCGCCCTCTGTGACCAGCCGATAGGGTGAGAAAAAAGCTTTATGAAGAGGAATGTTTCCTAACTCGATTGGTTGAAAGGAAGAGTTGAGACGAAAAAGAATCGGATTGATTAGTCCGTGACCAAACCTGAAGGCTGCTGTTGCAAAAGCGTTTACGATCCCCGCATCAATGTTAGGTTCGTATCCACTGTAGGTCCCCATGAGAGCCATTCCTTGAGGGCCAAGAACCTTAGGGAGCCATTCTGTGTAGGAAATATGTTGCATCTCGGCCCCCACTATTTTACGTGCCTCGTGGTACACTTTATCCCCGTCCCAGTGGGGATTCAACTCTCCCAGCTCCTTTGCAATGCGGTTGTGTTCGCGCATCCATATCGTGTGCATCGACAGCAGACCAAGCTGTTCGTTTGCACGGAAATCTCCCGCAAGGAAACATGGGACAGGGCTGTCTTCGGATTGAAGGCATTCAATTGGAGTGTCACGGTTAAAGGGTAACAAAGGTTTTCCACTGCCGATGCTAGAGTTTGATTTAAGAAGTCCTCTGCTTTCTAAATCTCGTAAGTTCATCACCTCCTCTTCTGATGAGCCATAAACATTCGATGCGTCGATGTACGAGGTGATTTGATTCATCTGTTCCCGTGGAGTGACAGCACTGAAAAACACGGACGTCATCCCCGTGCCACACACTGCACTCGAACGAGTAAAAGGCAGACATTTATGCCCGTTATTATTGATGCGCTTGTCGTTGGCCGGGATTGAGATAGGAAAACATGGCGGCTGATTATCACAAAAACCGTAATTTTTTGTACAGTCAAGACCATCGCTGAACCTTAGCGTGCTTAAACTAGTTACAATAAAATCAATATCGTGATCAAGGAACTGTCCCCACTGCATCACCATGTGAGTGAAGAGTTCATCTTCGCTCACTTCTTTGGATGACACAAGCTCTGTAGACACGAGACGAGCGCTCGGGTGACCCTCCGTATCCTGCCAACCCACTGGCGTGTTGTAGCCGTTTTCGTACACGGGACTTAGTAGACGTTTAAATGGTGTCAGCGAGGCTCCCCACATGGGATGCTGCAAGTTGTTGCATGTACCGTCGATCGTGCGATACTTGAGGTGGAAGCACATGTCAGAGCAGTTGTTGATTCGGCGATGCGCGCTGCATCCAGACAAGTTGGCAATAACATTGACATGTTCTGGAGACAGCAGATGGAAGAAATTGTACTTGTCATTGCTTATGTTCACCCTGTCCATTTCTTTGACGTGCTCGTGGACGAGATGAATCGTGCGTTCGAAGATTTCGGCGGACTTAGCGATCTGTTGTGCCGCAGGTGAGGGAAAGCGAAACAAAGCCAGAAGATCGCTTGGTTTCCGTGGTTGTGAAGAGGAAAACAGCATTTTAATGCTGGCGTTTATTGCTCTATTCACATTTTCCCTGGCTATACCAATCGTTCTGTTGATAACATCAATGCCAATGCGGTTTTCATTCGAAGGAACTGAAAGGTAAGACTCCTAGTTAATTCTAACTCTATTCTAACATAGTGTAAGACTCCCTTGTCCTACAATCCGTTTCTTTACTGTGTATGATTTTCACGCGCGAGTAAGGCGCGCACATTGTGGAAGTGGCAGCTTTTGTGATGTTAAATCTTTCTTCTCCTGTAAACGAGCACAGCCACGCTTCCCACTTTTTCCAATAGAAAAATGTGGGGGGAGGGGGAGGGGGTGGGGTAGGAATTACGTCATCAACAGTAAAATCAAATTCAGAAAATATTCATGTTCGGTTTGAGGCAAACGGAGGAAATTAAATGAAGGAGCCATACCAGTCCTTACAAGCCTTAAAGGAATTAGACCCATTTTGGGGCGAAACGTCATCACGAAATTAATTAAATTGGAAGGACACATACGATATCAAAGGTTAGATTGAAAAGAGCTGGGTTTGCATGGGTAAAGTTAAATAGGGGAGAATCGAAGTCGTCAGTGTTCCCCGACAGAAACACGCCTGGTATTCCCCCTACTTTATAATTGGAGGTTTATCATCTCCTTGATCTGTTCCAGTAGTGTAGGTACTTTCCTCAAAAAATATGTCAAGTTTTTTTCCTAGGCAATCATACAACATCTTTTGAACCACAACATTTTACTGTTTTGTTTTTTTTTTTTTTGACAAACAGACGGGCATTGTGCAATTGTGCATGTTGCTTTCGAGGGAGGGTGGGGGTGGGGGATAAAAGGCGAGCTAAGAAACTAAAACTGAAGAAACTGACCGACGCTATTCCAACCAGCTATATCCTGTCGTAATGTTTGTACAGTTTTCAGTTAAGAAGGTAGAATTTTGTCGCTCAAAAATTCCTCGGAATGATAAATACACGAGTGAACGAAGGTAAGAATCAGGATAAATCTTACTCTGTACAGTTAGTGTCATCTGCGCAGACGCTGCCCCAATGCTATTACGTGCTGCGCATTCGTAACGCCCTTCGTCAGTCTTTCCAACATCCCGGATGCTTAAGGTCCCGGATTTGCTCACAGAGTACCTGTTCGCTTCTGTGATATGTACATTGTTTTTGATCCACGTTATAATGGGCTTAGGGGCGCCATAAGCCGAACAGCGAATTTCAACTGTTCGACCAGCGGTCACAATGATGTCTGTAGGGGATTCCACAATGGAGGGAGGAACTAATGAGATATAAAGAGAAAATAAAAATAAAAAAGTCATTATTAAGATTACGTGTATGAGTAAAGAACAAGCGTTGTGAATGCTTATTGTTTGCACTTGAACTTTGACAACTTCTGCCTGGTCTCCAAAATAAACCATTCAATAGTCACAAGAAATTCAGTAGTTTCTGGGGTGAAATTCCCTGGGATATCCCTGGGATATGCTCCGCTCTACTGCCTTCTGCCAAGTAATCGTAACTACTGCCATTTGTCTAACCTCGAGGTTTCACTGTCAGAAATGCTCTCGCCAGTCTCACTCCGATAATGTTGATCGCTTGGCATTCATACTGTCCCCGGTCTCGACGTGATGCAAACAATATTCGTAAAGTCCCGGATGGCAGGACAATATGTCGGTGCGGTGATGGCAGTCGGTCGCCATCTTTGGTCCAGGCGATGGCTGGTACTGGGTGACCGGTGACTCGGCAATTAAGCTCAGCCGTACTTCCTTCTAATACTTCAGTATTTGCGGGTCTTGTTGTAAATTTTGGTTGAGCTAAATAAAAGGTAGAAAAAAATCAGAGAAACACTTTGTGTTGCATCGCTCATAGTACATTGTTAGTTGGCGAAATGTCGGAAAAAAGCGTTATAAACATCTTTATGGGATCTGTTTTCAAAATTATCTTACATTCTGCCCCAGCTGATCACCTAAACAGCCAGCAGCGAAAACGAACGAAACAAACAAGTACGCACAATTGCATTTCGTGTTTCGCTTTCTCGAAAGCAATTAATCGCCTTCGGCACGTGACTTATGAACCGTTCTCGTTCAAGATCCTGGTTGGTAAACACGCCGCTAAGACGAAAGAAAGACGTTTTTTTGCTTAGATGTCTCCTATTACCTGTCACAATCAATCTGGTTGTCGCTGCCACAGCCCCAACTCTGTTGGCTGCGCGACATCTATACATGCCATGATCAACGACGCGCACTTCCAGGATGTACAAATCCCCGGATGGTAAGATTCTGTAATGAGGATCATAGGCCAGCGATATTCCTTCCTTACTCCACTGGATAGCAGGCTTAGGATTACCGCGAGCGCGGCAGGTGAGAGTCACTGGATTTCCTTCAATAGATTCTACCTTGGAATGAGGATATTGGACAAGGAATGGCGGAGCTAGGATTGAACACGACAAGTTGTCAGCTCAGATAGCAGCTGCAGAATAATTATACAAATCCTTCAGATTTAACGTGGAGAAAATTAATTTATCACCGGTTCAGGGATGGTTTTCGAGAGGAAAACACTATGAAAGCAATTAAGGGTTGCCTTTCCCGAGGAAACCGAAAAGGGCGAGTTCTAGTAAAGTCAATTTTTAGCTGGAGAGAGGGTGAAATAGTCTTCACGAATATCCTCACAAAATCATAGCTACCTCTACCGACACAGAGAATTATTTTGTACCTTCGACTCCAAAATAATTGAGTGCCGCCTTGCTGACGACCTCCCCAGCAGAATTTTCTGCCACGCACTCATAACTCCCTTCGTCATCAAATTTAGGATCAATGATGCTTAGCGCGCCGCTCTCGCTCATCACGTGACGCGTATCTGGCTTTAGAAGCTTGCCGTTTTTCCGCCATGTTATGGTAGGTCTTGGGTTGCCTGTGGCAAGGCATCTGAACAGCACCTGACGATCTCGCACAGAGACTTCTATATTGGTTGGTGTTTTTACAAACGATGGTGGTACTGGTGATAGAGACAACAGATCATTATCTATATCTGAAACCACTGTACGGAGAAATACCTTTTTTTATGGAAATATATTTTTAAAACGTTCAAAGACATATTCTTGCTGGCATCATGATAATTTTCCCTACGTCCCTTGTCTGCAGAGAATTGGCCCCGTGTTTGCTTGAAAACTATTCACGAATAAATCCTAGATTTCTATTAAATTCCCATTTCCAGATATTTACAATAGATCGTCAGATTCTGCAGAAGAGAAAGTTTAGAGAGAAGCAACGAAATAGCAGCGTAGAAACGGTTTGAAAGCAAGACTATTGAACATTTTTCTTGGAAACTCACTGTCTTTTGTCTTTCATGAGAAACTCAATAACTCACCCCCCCCCCTCCCCGTCCACGCTTCTTCTTCCTTAAAAATTAATAGTCCTGAGATTGCGCTTCGAAAAAGAACATTTCCGTGAGCCCATTTACGCCTGTGGGTATATTATCAGCGCAAAATAAAGAAAAATTGTTAAGATTTTGCCAAGATCTCCGAGGGGAAGAAATGAAAAATAGCCAATTTTAGTACACATACGGACAAGTACACCAGACTGACTCACTGCAGTTGACGTCCTCAGGAGTAAGGCGGACTAAGGCTTTCCCTCTAAGGTGGGGTGGTTCACCACAAGTAGCTGCTGTCTCCGTGTTTGGTGTCCTCTTTAGCAGCTGAGCAAGCCACAGCATATCACACGTACAGTTTAGAGGGTTGGAGTCGAGTCGGCTGAGGTTAACAACAACCATATCCTGGCTTAAGAATCTAGCAATCTTACAATTGATTCAATTTATTTTCGATAGGCTTGTGCCTACGCGGGCAACAAAGGCTTTTAAATCTGAAATTCTATTTGGTAGAGCAAAAAAAAAACAAAAAAAAAACACGATTTTGCCCTTAATCCTATTGGATGCCGTTAAACCGACTCCAAAGTCATAACAATCATCGGACAATTAATACAAAGGAAATTTTCCAAAAGGATCAATGAAAACTCAAAGTAATGAAACACACGACAGCTGCCTAAAGTACGGGGCAACACGAGAGACTAAGAAGCAACTAGCTTTCGTTCAAAATCTTATCGATCAGGCTCCGGTTGTTCAAAGGGCGGATATCACTATCCAACGGATAAATCGCTATCCAGCGGATAAGTGTTACCAAAACGTACTGCGCTACCCACCGGATAGAGATTTATCCAGTGTATAGCGTTATCCATCCTTCGAACAACCGGGGCCAGGATTGTACCACGTGTTTTCTAGACCAGTCACGGATACCGTTAGTATGATAAACCAATCTAAAGATTATTCAGGGAGAAGTGATTAGGTCATTTTGCGATAATTCACCTTTCGTAAGCATTAATCTACTCTGGTTCACAAATAGGCCTCAACGCACTGTTAGGTTACATAGCCCAACATGCGTTCCTTTGAAAAATGAATATAGACAATTCACATCGTTTTCTACTCTGTGTTGTTCTTATGTTTCCCCGCCGGTGGATCCAATGAAGAGAGACCGCGAATGGCTATCACAAATGGAAATGCGACCTAATCTCTATAATATATGACAAACTAGAAATTGTACGTCGTGGTTGAGGACCATGTCAAACTTTACATTATGAACTCACTAAGAATGGCAGATTACAAAGTAAATCCACGAGACTCTCGTGGTTCTTAGGTAAATCTAAGTTGTCGTGGTTGAGATCTATATCAAACTTAACACTATCAACTTACAGAGACTTGCAGTACTTAAAGTAAATCCATGAAACCTTCGTTGGTCTTGAATAAATATAAGTTTTACGAACTTACGTAAGCGTACCCCTGTTCCTTTCAGCAGCAAAGATTAAACTTAAACAACCCAACTTACAGTCTTCTTAATGATTCCAGATTTTTAAATAGTCCCCTTGGAACAGATCTCAGGCGGTTATGATGAAGATATCTGAAAAGTAACATGAGTTCTTTTTAGTCAAACATGAAAGAACTTATTGAGAACCAAATCAGAAGAACCAATCAATAACAATAAATAAATGCAATACAACTGAATCACAAGGCTTGAACTTACAATCGTTCAAGAGCGGTGAGATCATTGAAAGTGAATGTAGGAATATCTTCTATTTCGTTCAAGTGTAGATATCTGCGAAAGGTAAACATTGTTACATCATTAATCGCCTCCCGGTTAGCTCAATGGATAGAGCGCTGGACTGTTGTGCGGGAGGTTCAGGGTTCGAGCCCCGGCCGGACCAACACTCAAGGTCTTAAAATAATTGAGAAGAATATGCTGCCTTTCTATAATATCAAGAAACGGTTAGATATTCTAGTCTTCTCGGATAGGGACGAATAAATGGAGGTCCCGTCTCCTGCAGGGGTAGGGGTTGGGGACGTTAATTTCCCACGCACGAGATTACTGTGTGATGGATGTCCTCCCCTAGGGTGGGATGGTGGGTTACTGGGCCCGCAGTGATTGGCGCAAAGCTGTTGCGGTGTCCCTGCCTGTCGGTAAATCTTGTAAATAAATAAATGAAATAAATAACCCTTGAATCAAATATCAAGTTTGCGTGAATTAAGACGTCAGCAGCATGCACCATGGGCAAATGGGGGACGCTAAATTCACCAATCAGAGCGCGCGCTTTACTTTGCTTATGTTATAATTCCTAATGGAAGAAAAAGAACGATCTAAACACGACCCCTTCAACGAAACAGTGTCTCGATAATTTCATTTACAGTACGGTAATTTGTAACCTTGAAAAACCTGGAAGCTTAAACAAATATACTTCTGAGTGTGTTATTCGCTCTACTTACAATTGTTCAAGAGAACGGAGCCCACTAAATGCATTCTCGTGTATCCGTTTAAGTTTATTATTGAACAAATATCTGCGAAGAAATAATTCAATACAGTCATGTATATATTTACAGAAAAACAGCGGCCTGATGGTTAGAGTGTTGAACACCGGGTCGAGAGGGCTTGGGTTCGAGACCTGGCGGGGTCATGTGCTGTGTTGGTAAACAGTTCAATCTCACAATGCCCCTCTCCACCCAGGGAGGGAGGGAGGGAGGGGTTGTTCCTAGCTGGTTAAAGATAACCTAGAGTTACTGCAGATTTTTTTTTAGATCTAAAAGCTTTGAAAGAAATCTTCATTAATTATTTTTGTCTACAATTTGATGATTGAATGCTCTAAAAATAACAAGGCAAAATTAACCCAAAAAGGCGTTTCAATAAAGACATAAAGAAACCTGGATTAAATTTTAACCTTGGGTGAGGGCTCATCGGCTTACGAACTTTTGGGCCTAAGGGTATGAATGGGTACCGATGAATTATCAGAAAAGGCCTGACCATATTCTGGGGGGAGGGGGTGGGGTAACCTTGCGATGGACTGACATCCCACCCAGGGGCAGTTGTAATTATCCTAATCGCTTCATGCCACACGGAAACCAGGATAAGCTGCCCCTGAAAGAGCCAATAGGCTTGGGTACAGATTTTACCATTTTAACTTATTTATTTGCAGTTAGATGGTAATGCATGAACTATTTCAAGATTACTAGATGATATTAGGGACCTTAAGAAACCACGTCGGCGACGGCAACGAGGACGTGGAAAAACAAGACATCTAATTGGCAGAAAAAATAGCTCAGCACGTGCGTTTTGGAACTTTGTACATTTCTTATCCGTCCTGTGCAAAACAACAACGTGTAATCGCCAAAATTTGCGTCGTCTGCGAACCAAAACCGCGACGGCAAATTATTTTAATTTCCATTTGGAACTCAACGGCTACTTTATACGTCATGCTGAAGTTGAGCTGAGGCGCTGTATGAGACAGTAAGCTCCTGCAGCCATTTTTGAAATTCTAACCAAGAGTAGAAATTCATTTTTTAATCGAAGTCTTCCTTGGCGTCGCCGTCGTGGTTTCATAAAGTCCATAATATCAATAAGGTGGCTACTTACAGATACTTCAGTGATGCTAATCCTACAAAGGCCTCTGGCTCAATAATTTGAATGTTATTACCACTAAGGAATCTGTCGGAAGTAATAAAAAAAAGGGCAATAAGTACGCCACAAATTGGGTAGCAATTGTAACAACAACGACAAAAAAAAGTCAAATTAAAATGATTGAAATACTGAATGATGAAGATACTCACAGTGTAGTGAGGTGTCGCAACTCTGCCAGGTCTCCATTACTGATTACGGATATATTGTTGAATCTCAAATCCCTGAGCGAAAAGAAATATACAAAAGAAATGAGAAAATTACGTGGCTTATACTGGAGGGTTTGGGTTTCAGAAGATGCTTTGAGTACAGTGGATTTGTTTCCACAGAAGATTGGCAGTTGTAAAACTTTGCACAGGTCTGGTAAAAAATTGCTCTTCCTTCCCCCACCTTTTTTTTTTTTCTTTCTTATTATTAAAGCATGGCTCACATCAGTAATTGCTATTTTTCTTGGACTTCACTTAAAAAAGCAGCTTGAATCAAGTGATTTTGTTTGTGGTGAAATCTCAATTGAGATCTGATTTGTTACTCTCCCTGCTAGCAGCTGCACATTTCACACTTGTAGTTGAAACAATCTGGTGTCATGTTTAGACAAGAAACATATCAAGTTGTACTCAGGCGCTCGTAATGGTATAATTTTAGGCACAGTCTAACGCTTTTTACGCAAGAAAATTCAAGCGCACAAGAAATTGGGCATGTCGAAGACACGAAAAAATAAACTGAAAGGCGCAAGAAGATTGTTACTGCTTTCAAACATTGTTCTCTTATGCTTTACTAGTGCTTGGAGCTTTTAAGTGAAAAACCTTGCACTCACGCATGCGCCTTAGAACCTCGACGGCCATTCGTGACTCGACACGAACGAGCCCAAATTTTATACTCAGGCCTTCAATAATGGCGTTCAGCTGTTGACTTTTGTCTGCGATTAATTGCAAGGGAAAGTTTTATGTTAGGCACTCCTAAGAGCTTAAGGGTTAAAGAGCTTGTCTTCTTTGAGTATTATTAACGGTTTTAGAACTTAAATCGCTTGGAACTCGGCCCAAAGAGACAACCGTTGCAGTAATAACAACCTACACACAAGGAAAAAAAAATATATATATATAAAAACATGTTTTGGTCTACGTGACTCGAGGGGTTTTAAGAAACACTCGCGCGTGTCAATAAAAAAAAACCAGATGCACAAGGTTATGAAGAGCCACAAAAACAAGAACTTGAATATTCCTTCTCCCTCGTTTCGAAAAATGGTTGCGACGCAGGCAACAAAAAGAATTTCAAGAAGTTGCGATGCAAATTAATACCTTTTTAGACTTAATTGGCGTGCAGTCTATGTCTCCTAAATGGGCGGGTGCCATTGACTTTAACAAAAAAACTATATATGGACTTTGACTTCTAATACCTTACAAAGCTGCTAATTATCAAATATACCGCTTGAGGAGAATACGACAGCAATGAGGTTAAGTTAAGTGAACGGAAGTTCGAAATCCTGTCAGATCCGTTTGAAATTTTGTTTTCCCGGGCAGGTCTTGCGTGCTTAATGCCCTTGATCGTGCTTTGACTTAAAGAAAAGATTTACAAGTGGCCTCTTCCAACATTTTCACGACGTCTTGAGGAAAACAGATAATGTGAATAGACAAGCTTATCAGCTTGGAGATGTTACCTTGATATGATCAAACACAAAGTTCTCTTATGTAATTCAGAAGGAATTTTATGGAAGCCATAAGGGACAATTTCTAAACAGATCATTTGCTTGAAAGGCGGGTTGTGTTATGTTTAGTCAAGCAATTTTTAAAATTGTGAAATGTCTTGACACAAATACTTCAATTAAGCTAAATTTCTGCTTAACCCGTTAACTCCAACGAGTGATTAACACGTATCTTCTCTTTGCAATTCTAAAGGCTAATCTTGTAAATAGGTTTGAGAAAAGACAAGGTTATCAGTTAAAGGGTTTATTTTGGAATAAGACCAAAATACCCTGTCTAACATACAGGGAAAAGTATAGTATTAAGTAAGAAGGACTATTAATTTGATCTTGAAAGCCAAAGGATCAAAAATTTTGAGAAAGAAGAAGTGCTTAGGCAAAATAGTTAAATGGTGCGACTCATTCACGCAGTTTACAACAAACAGCATTGGGCTAAATTTGTCTGCCTTGCCCAAATAAGACATCAATGGAGGTTATCCAAGAGATTAGCTTTTTAAAAAATGCTTTTCAGTTTATCTGCGTTCAAATCTGTATGAGATTATAATGAGCTCTTTGGTTATTTTTAAACTTGACGTGATAGTGAAATCTTCGAAATAACACGCTCTGTTACATACAATGCTATTATATTTTGTTTCAGTTTGGATGTAGGATGTCTAAAGCTTCCATTTATGGCAGAAAACAACAGGATTTTCATCGTTTAGAGTTAAAACACTGTGTGCTATAAATTTAACGTTTTATGAGCCAAAACGTTAAAAGCACGACTTGAGCATTCCTCTCACTAAATGCGGTGGGTGATTAAATCACGCAAGACAAGAGGTTAAGCAACAAGGCAGACAGTAAAAATTTGAACCACTGTGCGCCTGCTTTGCATACTTAAGTAAAAATAACTGAGGTCATTGTGAACATAATAAAATTTCCCTTTCTTTACAGAGCTGATTTAAGGATTGGAGGAAAGGAAGCAAAATCTGAATGAATTTTTTCCCCGTGCTGTCTCCGAACTCGTCCAGATTATAAAAATTTTTTTTTTTTCATAAATCTTCTCCCAAGGATAAGAGTAGTCTCGAGACAGCCATTGTAAATCTTTTTAATTCCACAGCTTAGTGACATGTCTCTCAAGTAGCATAATCCTCTTTCTCTAATCTGAAGCATGAGCGATTATTAACCTGGGTGGTGAGTTCACCAACTACTGTTTTTTGTTGACCTTTCTTCCAATAAATTTTGCGTGGGTAGGTAGGTCTGAAAAAATAGGGATTTTTAACAAGACGTTTAATTAGTTCACTCTTTAACAGGCGTGAAAAATGTGTGACATGCCCTCAGAGGAATAGTTGAGTTAACCTCACAGCTTAAAAGGTTAAACCACAGGCTTGCATGGAAGAAGCTATAGACATATATAGAATTCATATTACCGCCTCGAAAACCACACATGAGTAGCTAAAGAGATTTTGAGGGATATTTCAATCTCTTAAAATATCTTTTTTGTTTTTGGTTTTATCCTAAGCCAGTTTTCACGGGTGTTCGGATTTCATGTGAATTTGAATCCAACACTCCCCATGCCGGGCTTTGCAATTTTTTTACGATGTAACAACGCCGGTGAACAAACGTTGTATAGCAAAACAACATGAACAGCTCTTTAAAAGTTCAGATTCAAAGTCATGTCTGAAGAACCATCAAGGTGAACGAAGTATGAAATAAAGATTGGATGGTATATCATGCAGCTTCTTCAACTGGAGCGGGCAGTCTCCTCGATTAATTAACAGGTTGAGTGCAGTTAACGTTTTGGCTCTTTAGAGTTACTAGCGTCTAATTTCTCTTGACAATATCACCCCCTGAATCACACATTAAGATCACGAGAATGAAGGAAATGATCACCAACTAAAAGAGCTCCTGATTGTTAAAAAAATTCTTGTCAGCGACAAAGGGAATATACGAAGAACAATATAGGGAATATGTAAACTGACTTTTCAGGTGAGTAAAGGATTAAAGTACATTTAAGAATTGGTCGCGTTTAAGTTCTGCATTGAGAGAAAAAAAAAAGTTTTGTCCATTAACTTGGATTATTTTTAAAGACATTAGCCATCTTAAGCTGATAACGATAAGCGTCTGCACATTGACCAGAAATTCATGTAAAACTGTTTGATGTTTATTCGCGCATATCGTGATTCTGAAATCGCTGCGATTTATAGAACCCGACAGAATTCCAAACAGTCCCAAACAGTTTCTTTAGAAACTATCAGCCAGAATTCCTAGAAACCTGTTATAATATGAATGGAGAATAATAATGATAATAATAATAATAATAATAATAATAATGATAATAATAAAAACAATATGATGAAAACTTGGTGCTCGTTAACGAAAGATTGGATGGTAACCTAATAAAAGGGCTAGCATTACCGTAATGACTAGATGAAGCGCTCGGGGCGCCTATTTCCTTTTGGGTACCGCAAGGGGGGCACCAATCCGGAACAGGGCGCTTATTAGGGATAGGGCACATCTAATGGGACAGGGCGCTTATTTCTTTTTTGAGAAACAGCAGAGTGCAAGAAACAAGGCTCTGATGTTTATTTAAAAAGGATGAAAACACTGGAAAACTGATTTGTTATCCCTGGATCCTTCCTGGCTAGAACTACGAGCCAAGCAATCATGGCAAAATTTTAAGAAGAGATAATAATAATAATAATAATAATAATAATAATAAATTTAAATCTATTATTATTATTTTAAAAAATAATAATAATAATAATAATAATGATCGTTTATTTAACCCTTTTGCAGTATACACTGAATTACAAGGCGGGTCATTAATTACAAATACTTCTACGTTACACCTAAATATAACTATTATAGATATCAATTAAATGCAAATATTGAATACTATGTAAATATGAAATGCTATGAGTATTAAGACGAATCGTAATTCGGTATTTTAAACGTGATTCTGGTAGTTGATGGTGCAAAAATTTCCAAATCTATGAGATCTTGGAGAGGCAGGTACAGACACAGTTTCTCCTGTCCTAAGGGCATATGGTCTTGTGAATGCACAACGCGGCAATAACTATCATAGTGGGTCGGAAGAAGAGTAATTTCGGTTGAAGAATGTTACGCACGCATCCTCCCTGCTCTGGCGCAGAAAAATTTAGCCTGATTTCTTAAGATGATGATTCGTTTGAAGTAACTGTGTACTCACCTGGACATACTTGTTCAGACTAAGAGGAAGACAAGTGTTTTTGTGATGAGGCTTTAAGTGAGCAATTTAAGGAAGATAAAGCACGGTTGATCTCAATGTCCATAGACTCTAACAATACGTTTTTCGGTCTAGAGACGCTTGTTCGAATGAGGGCACTTATTAACAAAAAGAGATACGAGGTGACGCTTATTAGAGAGGGGGCGCTTAATGGAACGAGGGTGCTAAATCGAATCATCACGGTCACTAATTTATTTTCAATACTCATCCTCTCTGCGCATAATTTACAGTCCTGCGTAGCAAACGCGCAGTAACAAGATGCCAGCCTTTTTCGTGGCTGGAGCCCGCGAGTGAGTGTGTTTCACAAAATCTTCTCGTAAAAGAGCACGATGACCCTCGTTACTAATTAACCCTTCTTACTTATCAGTATGCAGGTTCTCCATACTGTTCTCTATACGTTATCTATGGTACTTACAAGGAGAATTTCTCGAACGATCAAGAGCTTTTTAAGTTCACAACCATTTCCTTTATTCTCCTGACCTCAGTAATGTCTGATTCGAGGGTGATATTGGAAGGAGAAATGAAATGCCAGTAACTCTTAGGGATTAAAGTGTGAATGTTATTTACTAGCAGTAAATAGGTGAGAAAAATAACATTAGAAGGAAAGAGTTGGATAGTTGAAGTTCTACTACTGTAGCAAAAATACCTGACAAATATTCGCCGAAATATTCCTTCACAGCCTAGATTCGTACCTATTCGAAAAAGTTGCCAGCTAGTTCAACTGAGGCTGGGGAGCGGCTATTTTGAGGATTGGCTCCGTTGAGCACTCCTAAATGTTTGTGAGATCAAGCAATCTGAAATCACTTTATTTGAAGATTGTAGCTCCGATAACAATCATAGTTTTAGCTATATGATAATAACTTTTTCGGTTATTCAAATTGGATCTTACCAACTCAGCAAAGAACACTAAGAATCACAAGCAAGCAACTGAAATAGGCACAGAGGACTTAACTTTGATTCCAGTATTCAGATGTCCAGCGCAAGGCTATAGAAAAGTGCCAAATTTAGAAACAATTCGGAAAGTACCGGTATATCCTTTTAAAGGCATTACTTACGTAAAGGAGTGGGGCGAAATTACAATGGTTTCAAGATGATTTTTCCTGTGGTATACCAATCTTGGAAATGCTCCATCAAACCGCACCAAAGTCGACAAAGCATGTTTTTTAATTACTTTTTACAGCACTTTAATCATCCCAAACCAAGTCCCACTCGAAATATTTTAGCCAGTCTTCAACTTTGAGGGTAGAATTCAATCGCAAACTATGAGATCCCCTACATTTTTGTTGTTCAAAGAGACAACTGACAAGCCTATCCTTTAAGGTTGGTTTACTACAAAAGGTGATCAGTTCAAAACGTAGTTTCGTTGATGGCAGGAAGTTGACAAGAAAACCAGAAAAGATTCCAATTCAACAAACATCAAGCATGGTCTAAACGTTTACTAAAGCACGTGTGGCTAACTAGACATTGCAATTACTTCTGAATGGCTGTGAATATATAAAAACCATACCTGTGAACTGTGGATTAATAAATTAATACATGAGTGATCTGCGTAGTAATGAACACTACGCTAAATAAAGCTCAAGCCAATTGTTTAAACTGATAACGAGAAATGTCTTTTTAACGCGACCAAAAAGTTCTTTATTAAACAGCTTGATGTTTTATTTGCTGGCTCAGTCATAAAAGTGTTGTCTACATATACTTTCAGACACAATCTGTCCATGGAAGGGACGGAATCGAAGCGGATTTGGTAATTTAGGCAGAACTTTACTTTCACCGGCAAAACAAGCGTATTATTTAGAGAAAGTAGTAGCATCTAGCAGTCAAAGCATAAATAGAACTAAATCAAAATTTGTTTCCCCTTGTTCCAGCGAGCAGTCAAAAGGAGGAAACACTTACAATCTTACTGGTAGCATCTTTGTCAAGTAAAACTAAATAACTTTTCCGACCTTTACATTACCTTGATAAAGTTTTTTTAACTTCTCGAGTCTCAAATCCAACACAATACATCACAGGAATGCATATTTTTTACTTAACGTTTCATTGAGAGAAAATTGGCGCAGCGCCGTAGTGCCAAATTGTTCCGGTCTGACAAAGAAAGGCGTTGAATGCTTAAAATCGCTTCTTCATTCCTGAAGGGCCTGTAAACGGAGCACTTGACTTCAAACATCTATTTGCAATATAAAATACTCTTCGAAAACTCTAAAAAAAAGATGGAAAAGTGGCTGTCTTGTGTACCATATGGCAGTAAAACACTTAAATACGTGACATGTCACGAAATAGAGGAATGGCGCTGTTCTCTTGATTTCAAAATAATGGAACCAAGAATTTTTCATCAAACGTTTTATGTCTCACGTATTTTGAGAACTCGTGGGTCCAAAAGTGCGTTTTTTCGGAATTGACAAAAAAAATCTCCAGCATTATTCGACATTGGGTTGTTCGAGAACTGTCACGAAATTCTTGCGGTGGAAGCAGATCTTTTCGATGAAATATTGCAAAACTAATTGTCTCTCGTAAAGCAAATCTAATGATTGAAAGATGTGGATTAACTAGTCTGAAGTCGAGCCTAAGCGGACATGTAATGAAATCGTCACTGTTTCGATTTGGAAAGATTTGATCAAACTAAATGCCTCTAATGACTTAGCATGGCGTCTACATGATTTGAGATGCCAATCTCCAATGTCAGAAGGCTGCTGGATTGAAATTTACCATGGCGGGCATATGTTTGTGTTCATGCTAAGCCGTTATGTTATCAAAAATCTATAAAATAAACTTTTTTCGTGTGCCTCTTTGCGGTAATTATCCTGACGCCGGTCAGACGAAATTCACTCAAACTTTGAAATAGGGCAGACCAACGATTGTCTTTTCTTTGAATCGCCGTCAGAGTTTCAACGATAAAAACCGCAAATTTTACCGGATTAAGCGATCGCAAGCCCACAATTCGGCGATGGCTTGCAGTTTTAAGGAACAAATGTAAAACATAGTTGATCTTTTATCGCATTTGGAAGGAACCCAAATGCTGTCGGAACATATATGCTAAACTGACTCACGATATAAGAGATTCACGTTGTGCTTAAATCCTCTCAAAGCCTTTTAAACAAATATCCAAAATGACACCAAGTTAAACAGTGAGTTCATTGTGTTGGCGAACAGCTCGCACGCGTTTACAAAGACAATTACAGCGCTACTTACAACACAACAGTCGAAGTTGGGACATTGGGTATTCTTGACAAAGAATGATGGTTACAGCGCACAGTTGGTCCGACATGCGTCCGGTAACATAGACAATTCTCTGGGCAAGTTAAGCCACTCCCAGCCAAACAGAGGACAAGAACGGCAACGAAGAGTACACGCCAAAAAGAGGACGTTGAACCAGAGAAATCCACGATCAACGTCGACATTTCTGCAGCGTTTGCAACAACATGAAAATTTGTCACCCAAACGTAGACTACCGTGAACTGATCGGAAGTGTCAGTGAAGCATGCTGTTTTTCTAAGGGTCGAGTTTCGTTTCACGTTTCATCTGCGTTTTTCCTGCCCTTCCTCTCAAATGACAAATCCGTCAATTGTTTACGCTCATATGACGAGCGGATATCCTGTCTTGTGCTAAGGACAGGGAGCACGATCCAACAGCCGGTACTTTGATCTCGAGATCGTTTATATCACAATTTATCAGATCATTTGTTCATTTTTTCCTCAACAGTGACCTTGGAGTTCGAGCCAAAGATTGTCAAGATAAAAGACATGCTGTACGCACAGGTGGCCCAAGCTCTGTCACAGGCTCTTTCACAGTGGATTATTGAAGAGTTTGTATAGTGGTTTAGTTGAACTTGCTTTTGAGCTCCGTAAATGTAAAGTTGTGTGAAATAATCAAAGAAATAAATTCTTACCTTCATAGAGAGTAGTCTGTGTTGTTCTCCTCGCGATTTGAGGCCGTTTTAATGTGTTTCAAGCCAAAACATATGAAAACACATCAAAACGGCCTCACATCGCGAGGAGAACAACACAGACTACTCTCTATGAAGGTAAGACTTTATTTCTTAGATTATTTCACACAACTTTACAGTTACGGAACTCAAAAGCAAGTCCAACGAAACCACTATACAAACTCTTTAATAATCCGACGAAGGGCTAACGCTCGAAACGTCAGCTTTTTGTAATCGTTACGGTGGCCAATTTATCATTTCAACTTTGTTGATATATCCAAATTATTTCGTTACTCCCACCGACGCAGCCCCAAACAGTTTCTTTCGAATATATCAGCCTTTATTCTTTAATAATCCACTGTGAAAGAGCCTGTGACAGAGCTTGAGCCACCTGTGGCTGTACGCTGTCAGAAAATGAGAATGACTTTTCAACTTTCACGACAATGACCCGAAATAAATCCGGAGGTTAGTCGTAAATGTACGAAAACAAGACGACGAAGATAGGAGAATCGTCGGGAAAACTCACGCACGGTTACCTGCTGTAACTCAAAACGGCTGAAATTTATTTTCTCTTCCTACATCGCTAACATAAAGGCTTTTAAATGATTTTAAGCGCAAAATGGTATGGAGAATTACGAAATTCAGGGTCGCGGGGATCACGAGGGACAGCTTCATTTAAACATAAGCTTATCGAATATTTCGAAAGGGCAATACTCCCAGAATCCCTAGGACCATAGCGATAATAATCTACCTCTAAAGTGAAGTTTAATCTTATAATCAAAAGTTTCAAAAGATGGGTTCTTTGGTGACTTGGACAGAGTGTCTGTATACGCGGAGATGTCCCGTAAGTAAATTCTGCGTCCCGAAAGCTCTGCGTCCCTATCCATTGAGCTAACCGCCTCCCAGTTAGCTCAATGAATAGAGCGCTGGACTGTTGTGCGGGAGGTCGAGGGTTCGAGCCCCGCCGGACCAACACTCAGGGTCTTAAAATAATTGAGAATAATTTGCTGCCTTTCTATAACATCAAGAAATGATTAGATATTCTAGTCTTCTCGGATAGGGACGAATAAATGGAGGTCCCATCTCCTGCAGGGTTAGGGGTAGGAGAAGTTAATTTCCCACACACGAGATTACTGTGTGATGGATGTCCTCCCCTGGGGTAGGATGGGTGGGTTTATTGGGCGCGCAGTAATTGGCGCAAAGCCGTTGCGGCGTCCCTGCCGGTTGGCGAAGCTATTAAATAAATAAAGTAAACTCAGAATACTGATTTAGTTGTAAGGGCGATTTCCCATAGCAACCTCGTGAAGCGCCATGGGTCTTGGATCACAAAATCTTTTAGTTTAATGTACCACTGTCATGCTGCTACAACGTCTACAAAGTTTAACCAAAACTACAACTGCTATAATTCAAATTCTAGCGAGCCCCCCCCCCATCGAAACCTGCCTTCCTCGGCTCCTTAGTACAATCCCACAAACGAAAACCCTCTTCATTGAAATGATTCCTTCTCGGTAACTGATAAGTTCACTATTTGCATCTTGCGATTAAGCCTCCTCCAATTCTTTCCACCACTGCCCCTTGATAAGACTGACAAGAGTGCGCAGAGTAGAACCAGAAGTGGATATTCTCTCTTGATAGAAGTGAAAGATTTTCAGCTGTTTTTCCTTGTCTGTCTTGCTAGGTAACACCCCCGATCGAAGTCTAAATTGGTCTCCTCAGTTCCATCTATAATTAGACGTAGAGTTAGTTTGAGTTTTGTGTTTTATTTTTCGGCTTCAGGTATGGAGAAGAGTTCTGTTATGTTCTCAATGCAATTTGTTTGAAAACGTTTCCCATTTTCCGCCTACAATCCGTCTACATATACAAACTCCAAGGGATACTAGCCCCTTTTCAGAAATAACTGTACTCAAAGCTCCTTAGTCCTTAGTAGGTCTAGTAGCCATGTAGGCCCAAGGCTGAATAAAAGCAAAAAAGTCGTGGAGTAGCACAAATTTTTACGATGAACTATAGCTGGTCAGTTGCCAGCCAATTTCAGTACATTTTCCAGCTTTTCAAAACTTGGAAACCGGCTTCGGTTAAGATAAAATTATTTCATCGATTTATAGACTGAGGTTTTATCTAAATTGGCGCGATCAAAGCTAAGTATCAAAACATGCGGTCTGCTATTTGTTGTCGCACTGACTTGTCGAGTGAATCATGGGGGGACAACAGACAGGTATCTCGTCGGCCAATGAAATCTTTTGTTCCCTAGTCGAACTTCCGGTCATCCTTCGGTCATGAATTATCAAACACATAAAGGACTACAGGTTCTTTTAGTTCCGTCTACAGGTCTTCAAGAAGTTTGGATTCACGCCGGGATAACAGTGAGCTGACTGGTGGAGGTAAGATTTATTTAGAAAACACTTTTCGACAAAACGAAGCTATTGGTAGATGATTTTTTGTGTACATTGTCTGACAAATGGCAATACATTTACGTACCTTGAATGTGTGGGAAGATGCATTTATTGACAAGGTTGCCACTCACAATCATGTCAACTTTGAGATTGTAGTTGGTAAATCTTGGGTGCGGTGATTGCAGCGAGAAACTCCGGTTTCTGTTTCGAGATTGTATATGCTTCGAAACCTTGGTTCAACGAGATTTTTTGTTTCTTCTTCTTCGTGATTAGTTTGATCTTAAAGGTAGAAAAACTTACCTGTTTTGAGTAGCTGGTGACAGACGGATAAGAACCGACAAGGTGGAAAGTGGAAAAATCGAAGACGGACGGAAACATATTCAAATAAAATCTCAAAAACGCATTGATATTGTCCAGTTTAAAATTAAAAATCATGTGACGACGAAATCTGTAATCGGAATCTGCTTAACTAGCCGCTAATAGCTAAGGAAAAGTCCTAATGGAAAGACAGTGATCAGATTTATTCTGCTCGCCTTGCAATTATGAATAAGTGACTAGCATTGCTGGGTGACATTCATATACACAACAAGGCCTTAAAAGTTACTGTCACCTTTAATTTTGTCCATTTAAAGGAAAGTGAAGGGAAGTAATGAAAATGAATTAATTCAACAGCAAGCGTTAAAGCACCAGCAATAAAGGTGTTTACCTAATGAATTATTTGATCTGGTACCTCCCCTTTTCGCGAGGGTACTGCATGGTTAATTAGGTTGGGTTAGCTTCGTGTTTTACGAGTGAAGTGCCCACTTTCCTGGATCCATTGACGGATTGCATGAGCATGAAGCAATAAGGAATATTTTTACACCTTTCCGTAAACAGAACGCTCTCCTTCCCCTCTCCCTCCCTCCCCCCCCTCATTATCAACTCTGGTTGATAATGAGCAAGTCAAAACGCTAACTTCTTATCGTTTCCTTCTTTTGACGATAGAAACTTGTCAGCCATGTTTCTCCGAACGTGTTTTGAAACTGTGCTGTTGTTCGTGGTGACAATAAAAGCTGCCCCCTATCCTATACCCGAAGCCTCTCAGAAGGCACCAGGTAATGTGAGGTTACCTTTTGAAGTTTCAAGCGACCATTTCGGCTGTCATTCTTTCCGATATATAGCAGCACAGGCTCTTTGTTGAAAGATATCTTTACCAATTCAAAATCATAATTGATTAAATACCTTAAAGATGAATCAACTTAAAGTCGATTACAAAGGAGTCCTAATTAGGAGCTGCCATAATTTATCACCAGGGAAGGGTGGGAGTGTTTTTGTTGTGTCACGATAATATTCAGCTGATCCCCTCTTTGGCTCTCTAATATTAGCGTGACTCCCTCCCTCAATGGCAATTAATAGGCAGTTAATTTTCTATAGTTCCCACTTTATACTTTGTCGACGACGACTCACACCCCTCCCCCCGTGTTACCCCTGAAATCACGAGATCCCCCTAAAATCCTCCACCCTCCCTACCCTCTTTTTTCCAAGCGATAACTAATGACTGATCTTTTCGAAATGTTTTACACAATTAGTTATTTAGTTATTCATTTTTGTTTCAATGTCCGACCCATTCTTCTTGGAGTGAAACCAGGATTAAATCGGTGGACTGCGAAATAACAGAGGATCAAGTTGTATAATAACGCATCTTGCAGATGCAACTTTCCCCGGAGTACGTAATTGTGAAAAAAAAAAAAATACTTGAACTGAAGACTTAGACTTGGACTTGGTTTTTGTTATTTTCCGACCAGTATTGGTGGGGAGGGACAAGACACTTGTTAAACCTATACACTGTCCTTGTCGCTCCAAATTTTGATGAACTGAACAGAAAAGATCGTGGCTCATAAGAGTTAACTTTAATTGTTTGGTTTAGCTAACAAATAAATTTTAGTCATTTTTCTTCGCAGGAGTTGAAGCATTCTTAGAAAAGGAATTACAATTGATAAACAAGTATCGTTTGATGCACGCCGCCGCTCCTCTTCAGCTCTCACTCGACCTAACCAACAAGGCCGAGTTATGGGCAACTCAACTAGCCAATCAAGACAAGGAAAAGATTGACGTCAACTCCAAATATGGTCAGAATATTTTCTCGACCAAAGATGAGAAAGACGTCGCAGCTAAAAGCGTGCGGTCGTGGTATAATGAAATCAGATTCTATGATTTCCACAGCGCAAAGGAATCTCTTAAGTCTTCTTATTTTACCCAGCTTGTCTGGGTTGGATCTCAAGACGTCGGTATTGGAAAGGCGAAAAGTGCAAGCGGTAAAACCTACATCGTCGCCTTATTTAACCCTCCTGGTAACGAAGGAAACTTCCTGCATAATGTGCTCCCAGTAACAGGTTTGTTTGTAAAAAAAAAAAGCTGTTAAATGTACATTTGGTATAACAATATGTTTGTAGTCGACGCATGGTAGAGATCTGTGGCTTATAAAAATGATCATCATCATTTACATCATCATAGCGCATACGCAACATATATCAACATTCCTATCCCGACAAGCAGTGTGGAGAAATTTTGTCACCATGGACCTAGCTCAACGACCTAGCCTACCATGAGTCTCCCAGTCCCACGGTGGAGAATCCAAAATAGTAATTGGAAGGTCGCAAGTTTGACTCCAAGTTGGGAGCCACGAGTTCTTTTTGTCCTTTCATACCTGTGTCATTGAATGAATAACATCTTTCTGCACGAAATAACTCAATAACTATACTTTTTAAAAATTTGTTCTTTTTCAGGGAGTGGTGTTGGAAAGCAAGGACCATGTAAGACTGCTTTTATTTTGACAATCCTCACCATAATTCATAACGATTAACCATATCTCGTGCACAAATTCGTGAGCCCTTAGAATTAAATCAAGCTGATTTTAATTTTAACAGCAAAGTGCCCTAATGGATATAAACTGTACAACAATATTTGATACAAGTACTTTCCTGGTCCAGTCAACTGGGTTCAAGCCTCAGAGAAATGCGCTGCGGATTTTGCCACACTTGCATCGATTGGGAGTGAAGCTGAGGATATGTTCGTGAAAACTATTTTGGTAAGGATAACTGCACAAGTAAAAAATATTCAAACTCAGGGAAATTATCACTCATCAGCTCTGGCTGAGAAGGTAAAACCTTTTCTTACTAGCCTGTGTTTAAGCTTTCGTAGTTTATTACAGGTTTACAGGCCCGCATAAAAGTATTCAACATATGTTTATTTTCCAACGGATACTCGTCCAACATCATTTGCACGGATGTTGGAGCGATATTTAGTAACTGTTTTTACTAGCTAAGACTTGCCACCTTGAACAGCAAGGAACATTCACTCAAATATCCCAAAATTTTTCCGCCAACATTTTTTGCTAGCGGGTGTATCAAAGTTGGGATAAATTTTATAAGTATTTTCACTTCTCCTAATCACACTCATCTGTTCGCACTAATAATCCCGAACATTCAAATGTCATCCGTTCAAACGCTTTTATTTATAGCACTGAGAAAAAAAAAGGATTCTATAAAGAACCTTAACGGTAAGAAGGCATCTCATGACATCAGCGATTGATTGCCATGCGCATAACAGCAGGTAACCAATTAAAACTGAGCGCCTGTGACAGAAGTACGCATCGAGGACCTGTTTTTGCTTACATCACTCACCGGTAAATCAGTCGTAAAGGACTGTTTTTGAAGATAATCCCCGTTCACAACAAAGCCGAAAAATTAATGAGTGTAAGATTTTTTTTCGATCTCTTTAACAGACTTCAGCTGGTGTCTCAGACGCCTGGATCGGGGTAAGCGATTTAACGAACGATGGAGTCCTGTCCTGGCTGGATGGGAGCCCACCTCACTTTATGAACTGGGATTTCTATCAGAAGAATTTTCCTGGAAAAAAGTGGGGCGTCATATGAACCAACTTTAATTGGAAATACAATGCTTGCGATGGATCGAGAGGATTCGTTTGCAAGCGACCCCTGAGAGGTCAGTAAACATTATCCTCCCCTTCCAGTCGTAGACAACCTTCTTGGACCGGAGAAGGAGGAGGTAGCATAGAAAGAACAGACGATGATATAGAAAAATTAACTTATTTCCTTAGCTAACATTATGCTTCCTTATCACCTTTTGGGAAATAAGTAAGATGAACATTCACTGATTAGTTATGGACCACGTAATTTGCGATCATTAAACGACACTACCGGCTAACCCTCTACTGAAAATGGTCAATCCTCCATGATGTAGCGTAAGTTCTAAGGTCAGACTACAGGGTCTGTCCTGAAAGAAGCCAATCAGTCAGTTAGTTAGTCAATCATTCTTTCCATCTGCCATTCCGTTAGTCAGTCAGTCAGTCAGTCAGACAGTCAGTCAATCAGTCAGTCAATCAGTCAGTCAGTCAGTCAGTCAGTCAGTCAATCAGTGGATCGTTCAGTCCATAGGTCATGCAGCCGGTCAGTGATCCAACAATTTATTCAGTCACTCAAGATTAACAACGTTTCACCCGACCAGGGAAGGGATTAATTTCACTTCCTTCTTAAGTAGAGTTGCTATATCCAAATGACTGCTATTCCTGGAAATCCGTATACTTGATGTATGTTCCTTATTCACTGGCAGTAAATTTAACTGGCCAAAGCGATGTAAACATGAACGTCACCAAAGAAAAAAGTAAAAAAAAAGTGATCGGCTGTTTTTTTTTTTTTTCATGAGCTTGTTCCATACTTACAGGGCACTTCCTCTATTTCAGGCATTACCGAATATTTAGTGATCCTTCGTTACGAAAATAAGTTATGGACCGACAACCTTTACGTGCCGGGAAGTCCTAGGTACCAAGCTCTCAGCAGACATATCCAAGAAGCGGTAAGTGACAGAATGATTTCGCAAGTGTTTTTTTCTTAAAAAATAGATCCACCTTATGTGGCCATCAGGAGCGTTGGCCGGGTAACCCATTACGGCGCTGTGTCTGGTGACTACTACCTTCTGTTTATCGTTATCTCAATATATCTATTAACATCCATTTCACTTATAATGTCAATAATAATGTAACACACTATGAGAGGTGAACTGATAAAAGAAGCGAATGTAATTAAAAATTGAAATCCATCCAAAAGTGATTAGTGGCTTAGTAACCCAGCCCGGGTAGGATATCTTAGGTGTGATGGAGCCGAACTCGTTTCCAACCCTTTTCGTTTGCTAGACAGCTTCTCGATGTGTACGGTGACTTTGATTGGTTTGAGCAAATCACAGTGGATCACTTCAGGTAAGGCTAGAACGATACGAGTTTTGGGAGTCACGTGATACTTTCTTTGTAAAGATCTTTTGAATAACAAACTACGACTTGGAAATACCTAAGTTTTAGTTAAATCAGAAGTGCAGAAAAAAGGCGAATCTTGGTTGGCACTAGAGTCATCAGTTGGTTCCCACAAACCCTACTAAGGGTGGCAAATAGGTGAATTGGAAAATTGGCGAGACCCCAAGAATTCTTGATTTTTACCGTCGCTTTATTCAAATTAGTGCAAGATACTTGCAATTGCATGAAAATGTCACCTAACAGTTGTGAGCCCTAGCTTTTCCGAACTCATATTTTTAAATTGACAGCGATTACCCACAGACCTCTGTCACCCACAAGGATAACTCTTAGCAGGGCTATCCTTTTGCCCTGAGTCTCTTTTATAAGAAAAAAAAACCCCGATTTTGAGCTCTGGTAGAGAGACGCGGGACGTCGAGAGGAAAAAAAATGCAATGTAAAGGACACTTCACACCATATCAAAAGAGCTGACTATATTTCAAAGTCGGTCTAAAAGTTTGCGATGCATACAATTCGTTAACGTACCCTTTGCCACTCTCAATTCCATTTCTATTTAATTCCAATAGTTTCTGCTCCTTCTCCACAATTTTTTCAATCAGCTGAAATCTTCAATTCTCACCCACAATTCTACTTTTTCCAATAGCAAAGGAGAGGAAGACAAAATCCTGGCATACTTCAAGCTACGCTTTACTCCTGATGATACCTCCCCAGCTGATCCGATCCAGTTTCTGCGGGACTCCATTCAGGGAAGTGATTCCTCAAAAAGAAGTGTCATCACCGGAACTCTTTATGGGGAAAAAGTTCAGCTTATTAACGCTACTATGATTGTGGGTGAGTGCTCAGAAAAGTAAAACAAACAAAAAAAAAACCAGGGCAGGTATACAATGAAATAAAAACTGCTTGAACTCTGACTGGTCGTATCCCATAATCTTCTGGAGTACCGATGCATGATGCCAAAATGTGGTAAGAAAATTATTGACAGACTCCCCCTGCGGTTCATTTCTCCTTTTGTTGTTACCACATTTTGAATTTGCGCCACCTTTCGTCTAAAACAGAACAGACATACGGTAACATGGAATCTATCGGATAAATAGAACAAGGCGAGGGTCGAAAGGCTTGTGTCTTTGGCTGTTCCATTTGCCAGTGTCTGTTCGCTCTCCATCCTCTTTTAAGCCTAGCATGTTCTTTGTGCTTTTCTCAAGAGTTAGATGTTGCGTATTGCTGCCTTTTCCGGTCAAAAATATAAAGAGAGATTCGATCGTTGCCTCTTCGAGAGGGTAATGTGTGTCTAAGAAACTAATGCTCTTACTGACTTTGTTTCTTGCAGTGGATCAGACTCCAGAGACTTGTCCCAGTTACTGCATGAGTTCGCAATGCATGCCGACCGTCTGTAACCCATGGTGCTGTGATCCATTCGGCCAGCAGTTTTTCCAAAGCTCCTATGGAGCACCACAGCAGCCTGGATACAACATGATTGGTTCTGCACCAGGCCAAATACAAGGTTATCCCTCACCAAACCCCCTCTCAGTCCCTCAGCAAGCCCAGTTTCAGTACCGACCTCTACCACAGCCTGCTTACTCGATCCTTCCACGGCCACAGCCATATCAGTACCCAATTCCACCCCCTCAATACCCATTACCACCTCAGCCTCAGCCATACCAATATCCAGTTCCAACCCGGCCACAACAACATCAATACCGACCACAGACACCCATTCAGTCCCCTTACTCAGTCCCACCACGACCACAGACATATCCTTTCCCAATCCCTGTGCAACCGCAACAGATTCGGTACCAGGTTCCGCAAAGACCACCCATGCCTCCATCGCCACAGTTCTTAATTTTACCGGGTCAGCCACAACCCCAGCACCAAGCACCACAACAATACCAGGCTATCCCAAGGCCAGTGTATCCACAACCCTGGCCGGTTTATCCCCAGCCTCAGCAGATGATGCAACAGCCTCCACCACAGTTCTTGCAAATGGGTCAAAATACAAAGGAGAAGCAGAAGCCACAAGCTGGTCAAGGGAAGTCTCCGGTACAACTTCAGGGAGTGGTATCCTCGTACCCCTTCCAACAACCATACCAGCCCTTGCCAAATCCTCCGATGCCCTTCTACCAGCCAGCCTTCCAGCAATACTACCAACCTACTGTTGCAGCTCCAAAGCCACATTCACCTGGTAAAGAGAAGGCGAAGGAGTCGGCGAAGGAATCTGAGAGCGGCAAAGAAAAGTCTCATGAGAATCCTCTGCCAGTTGCTGTACCACAGCCAACCTATCCTTATTTGGGATATCCTCCACAATCTTCCTACCCTTACTACTCCGCTCCAATACCATCAACTCAGACGATACCTTTTAAGATAAGAGTGTATCGACCTGTCTTGAATATCCCCCGTTCATCCCCTCCTCCTCTGTTTAACTCGGGGTATCCGATTCCAAATATGCAGCAGCCGGTTTACCAGCCTTACCCTGTCCCCCTTACGCAGTACCGGCTACCACCAGGTGGTCTACAACCTGCATCTCCAGGGCTTCGTCCTTTAGAACAAAGATCCTTTTATCCACAAGTCAGCCCTCCTCCACAAGGTTATCCGATGCAGTCATCCTTGCCAGTCAGTCCTTATCGGCCACCATATCTCGGCGTACAAATCCCGCCCTATCCCGGCGTACAAATGCCGCAAACAGCTCCCTTACCTGTTCATAAGTGATGAACTTGGCTACTAAAAAAAACCGAATATGGATTATTTCTTAGGAAATGAAATATAAAACGTTGTGATATGCAAGATTTTTGCTTAAAATTTGTACAAAGAGCTGCTTAATAAGTTTCATCTAGGGCATAACTTATCGATACTAACCAATACATTAATTCATAGCTTAGATGACACAGTTTTGATTGAATCTGAGACATAGGTTGAGTCTCCCAAAAACGGTGCATCTACACTCGTGCGCCAAGTACGGGTGACTTTCTTCTTTTCTCCTTATTAGGGATTTAGCCTAGCCACGCCACCGTAATATCTTCCCGGAAGAAATTTAAGCTTGAAAACTCTCATTACTTTCTCCTGTAAATAGACTTGATTGTACATGGGAAATATTTCCACAGCGATTGAATGCCGGGAAAAAAAAGGGTCATGTATATATAATGACTTTTACCTTTTCATCTTCAACTGATGTGATAGCCGAACTTCATTTGTTGTAGTTGTTGCTTTTTCCTTGCTTGTTTTCTTGAGTACAATCTTAGTGAAATGTTCAGCAAGCAACCGTGGACGATAATCCTACTCTTGTACGTTGGATCAGCAGTGATCTGATCGGCTCAAAATAATGAATATAAATGTAGAGGCAAGACTGATACAAGGTAGATAAGTTTTGAAAAACTGGATACATTACATTTACATTCACGGTTTTATTGTGTTCGATTCGTCGAGGTCATATTCCGTATTCTTCGAATAAGCACCCAGCTGCTTATTTAATATTTCGGCTAAAAAGGAGGGGCGCTTACTGGAAGGAGGGTACTTAATGGAGAGGGGCGCTTACTGGAAGGAGGGTACTTAATGAAGAGGGGCACTTATTATTCTCTTGTGCTGATTCCGCTGTAGTTTAAGCTTATAATGTTTTGAAGACAGTGACAGTGGAAACATGCTCTCCTTATATCTTCACCATTTAAGAAATTTTGGGAAGAGAGGGCGGGGNGGGGGGGGGGGGGGAGGTACTTACTTGAGAGGATGAATGTTTGACATCATGAACTGGGGAGCTGGGCGCCTATACACCGAATGCAAATATGGCGTCCAGTTTGAATTGCCATTGTTCTTTGTTCTGGACTGACTAGCCCCGTCTTCACGTGGAAACACATAAGGATTATTACATGTGTGAGAGGCTAGTCAGTCCAGAACAATGGCAATTCAAATTGGACGCCATATTTGCATTCGGTGTATTCGGGGGAGGGCGCCTATTCGGTGGCGCCCGGGGCGCTTATTAGAGCATAGGCGCTTATTGTATCTCTGGTACAACTGGGCGAGTCATGACCTGAAAGATCTATAAATCTGTGAGACAGAGCAGTTATTTTTTTCATCCTTGCAATGCTAAATCTCCCCTCTTTCATTCAAGATTCCAGAGGTTTTCGGTCCACTTTTTTTAGTGCTTCGAAAAATTTAACTAGCATGCTCTGCATTAAATAATTTAAACTAGATACCAGTCTTTCCTGTTACGCAATTAGAAAGATGGCGGCCGTGTTGCACCACGTGGCGACATAACGGTTCGCCGATGTTTGCCGGTTCTTACCGTTTTAACGACTCATCATGGCACGAGGAACTTTTTACACGGAGGCTTCAGATACAAGCGACTCAAATTGTGAGAAAAGTCGAAAATGTGCTCGTCCTGACTCAGTACACACCGATTGCAACAAGTCAAAAGTGTTAAATCCTGTTGCCTTGGACTGTGAAATGGTTGGCGTGGGTGACGAGAAGACGAGTGCTTTGGCTCGGTGTAGCGTTGTTAACTACGAAGGTGACGTTCTTTACGACGTTTATGTCAAACCTGATAAACCTATAACGGACTATAGAACACAGTGGAGTGGAATACGACCCAAACATATGAACAATGCAATCTCCTTCCGATTGGCAAGAAAGAAAGTCAAAAGATTGATCAAGAAACGTAAACTCGTGGGACATGCGTTACAATTCGATTTGAAAGTTCTAAAACTTAAACATCCTTCGGATCTTGTCAGAGACACTTCGAAGCACATACCTTTGCGAGCCTTAGCTGGTTTTCCGCGGAATTCTACGCCATCTTTAAAACGACTCACGAGACAATTGTTAAAGTGGGACATTCAGGTGAACGAACATAGTTCGGTGGAAGATGCTAGTGCTGCCATGCTGTTGTACAGGAAGTGTGAGGTTCAGTGGGAAAAGGACGTTAAAGGCAAAAGTGGCCAGTCTTATTTGGAAGATGCCTACTGGCCAAACTGGACAGAAACAACAGCAAATTCCTAAATTTCAAGGGATTTTAAATTAAATACCAAAGGTCTTGTTACATGCCTGAATCTTCAGTAGTTGTGCATTAATCAATTTTAAGCTGGAGGCAGGGGATCCTAGGCATATACAGGGCGTTTGAATCAACTCAATTTTAATGGCAATCCCCTTCTACAGTTATGAAAAATGAGTGAAATAGAATGAATTGTTTGTACCCTGAGCAAACAATGGCTGTCTTCTACTGTTGGTATTCTTAGTTGAGTGCATGCAAGGATGTGGTAAGGTCCCATTCCTCTTTGCAAAGAATTCAAACATCCCTACCCCAAGGCCCAGATTTTGTTCAGAAATGCATGCAGAAAAGAAATGGCAAAATTTCATGAAATCTGCCAAGCTAAAGTCGCCTTGATAAACTTGACTAAAATTCATTAAAATTGTCAATTCTGCCAAGCTGATTTGCTGCAACAAATTTGACTAATATTTACCAAAATTGTCAAATCTATGATCATCCACTTGATTTGACAATTTTGATGAAATTTTGCCATATCGTAATTGCCTGCATCCCTTGACATATTAGGTGATTTTTTTTTTAGTGAACTTCTCAAGGGTAGGGAGGAAAGTAGACCCAACTACATACTTAGTGTTACAATCTGAAGTTAAAGTGTGAAAATGTTTCCACATAGTACATTGATTAAAGTTGAGATTGGAACCCTGTATTCTTGTGTGTTTTCAAAGTATATATTTTTTTCAACATTCCCAAAAGCAACATAATAAAATATAACCAAAATGTTATTTGGAGTTATTACAGATACAGTTTACAACAGAATGGTAAAGAGGAAAATAATGCACAACTTTCAAGCATGAATGTAAGTGACCATTGACTAAAAAAAAGCACAGTTAGGGAAATATGGATCTACTGTATTCCTTTAGAAATTTGTGAAATGCCGTAATGAAGGGTAATGAACTCGGGGACCTTTTCAATTCAGAAATGACAGAAACAATTGACCACTTTCATAAATGGCTGCCGGATTGATATTCTTTTGTTTAAATTTAAATTAGCCTTTCTGGCCTCGTTCTCCAGTTCAAAATTCAAAAGAATGCATTATCTCAAGCGAGGCTAGTGAGGCTAATTTGAATTTAAACAAAAGAATATCAATCCGGCAGCCATTTATGAAAGTGGTGTATAATACACTTTGTTAAAAAAAAATACTTAACTGAAATTCCTTACTGGAAGAGAATTGTGTGTTTACTAGTGTGAAGGTTTTCCTCATTCCTTGACAGGTAGACATAGGTAGTACATTGTGGCCCTTAACGCATACAAAGGCCACTACTGTACAAGGGCATAGCCAGGGGGGTCCTGGGGTGCCCATGACCCCCCCCTTGGTAGGTTTTCTTTAGAGCAAACAACCTACAATATTCAGGTGGTGAAAACGCCATGACAATATCTTGGCTGTAAAAGCCATTGATATGGGCCTTCATGCCGCCATAATACGACTGAGCCCGCTGATACACACGGGAGAGCATCGCTGTAAATGGTGAGTAGCCTCTGTGACCCCCCCCCCCCTTTGCAAAATCCTGGCTACGTCCGTGACTGTAAGAATAGGAGAGTTACGTGTGAATGTAGCAAGTGGTTTGTAAGACAGACGCCAAGGGCCTGTGATGGAGTGCTACAAACTAACTAGCATAGTGTCTTCCATGAAAAAAATTTAATGCATTTGTTGTTGTTCTTTATATTATCATTATCCCAAAGATATATTACTTTTGTCACATCAGTTTTTGCAAGACGGATTTAATAACTAATAAAAACATAAAGTAAAAACATTTAGAAGAGAGTTAGATGGTAATTAGTATGATTCCCCTTATCAATAAGTCAAATGTTTTTTGACATGACTGATTGTTCATCAAAAATTAAGTACAATGACTTCATAGAGGTCTTGTGACCATGTTCTGCACATTTCACAAGACACCCAATCCTCCCACACCCGAACAACTTAAATAGTACTGCTATAAAAGCCAAAATGCAATTACAATAAAATTTTAGGCATTAACCCTGAAACTCCCAAAAATCTTATAATCAGTTCTCCCATCTAGCTGCAAGAATTTGGTGTTAAATCAAACCTGATAGGTTTGAGTATTCTCATTACCTGTTGGCTCGATAATATGTAGAAATTATAGGGAGAAGTTACATGTTAACCACTTCTATGAGTTAGAGAGTTAAGTCTGCACAAAACTGTTGACCTTTCAATGTATTTGAAATACCAACTCCTTGTCATACATACTGTAATTGTGCTGCAAATACAATATTAAATAACACTTAAGTAAAAAGTAACGCTTGTAGTTTGAAAAATGCTTTGTGCACTAGAGTGATATCCCTGCCATAGATTCATTTCACTAGCAGCAGAGAAAACATTTGCATTGTATAATTAAAATACAACAGATGAAAAAAGTATGATACAGGTTTTCTTTGTCATAAATTTTGAAAAATTTACATTGATGCTAATGAATCTTAAGTAACCCATATTTCTTCCTTTCTTTATGTTGCTCTGCAACATACACTGTACAAGTTAAAAACCCTACACAATAAAGATTTCTCCTTCAAATATTCCCTAATTGGATGCCGTCAACTAATTCAAGTGCCTCTTTACATTATGTATGCACTAAATTTCAAAATACTCTAGTTTTTGCTTATAGCTAAAGGCAATAAATTATCAATAAATTAGGACCACTGTATTTTCCCATTCCTATGATTTTAATCCATGTGCGAGCTTCTCTTGATACTCTGCATGATTGTGTAATGCTGCAACAAGTCCTTTCTCGTTAGCTGGTTTAGAACCATCACCATACTCAATTTCTTCATTATCTAATGTTGTCATCTTTCCCCCAAGTGTTCTCAACAAGGCATCTCCTGAGCAGATGTCCCATTTTTTGATTAGTGTTACGTGAACATAACAATTGGCTTTATCCTCAAATAGCGACAAAACCTTGTACCCTGCTCCACCCGCGGGTATCACCATGGATTGAGGACCAAACGCTGACCGAACCGTGGCATTTACTTCACCAGCATGAGACCTTGAAACAATGACCTTTGGCATTTTCAAAGCAGAATCTTTTTCTGGTGGCACATCTATATTACCTGAGGATCCGTGGCCAACCCAAGCCCAGTACGTCTCCTGAAGAAAAGGTTTATGAATTATCCCTGCTACAGGCTTTCCATTAACGACGATACAAATCATTGTGGTAACATATTGAACAAGATTTTCTGTATATTCTTGTGTGGCATCTAGTGGGTCTATCCATATGAGAAGACTGCCAGCAGATACAACCTCATCTTCCTTGTTATGGAGCTTGCCATCAAGCTTAATTTCAGAGATATCAGGAGATTTGACATCTTTTAAATCGACATCACCATGGTCATGTTCTTCAGACACCACATTTAACCTCGGAAATTCCTTCTTAAAGCCATAATACATAGCCCGATGAGATAACATGTCTCCCTGTGTTACAGGATTGTTGGCTCCTTCAAGAGTTTGGCCCTTGCTTTCCTCCTGTAAATCAAGAACAATGATCAACCACAAATAGAAACTTTTACAGTAGTTACTGTATTAATTTGATTAATCCAAGACCTGATTGTCAATTCTCCTCTATGGCTGCAACACATTTCCTTGCAAATCAGTTGTGACAATTTGGTGTTAGATTAAGATAACAAATTCTACCTGATTAGTTTGAGTAGTCTCATTAGCTGTATGCTGGATAATGTATGGATACAATAGGGAGAAGTTAGATCTCAATCACTTCTAGGAGTTAAAGGGTTATGTACCTAACCTTGAATAAGCACCCACTCTGAATATGAGAAAAGTTGATATGTGCTCAGCCTCAAATCAGCACCCACGAGGTTTGCATGATTGTTAAAACAATTCTGAATGCTGAATCAATTCACTTGTGCATCTTAACCTGTTACTGGTAAAGTATATGTTGTAGTTCAATTTTATCCTTGGTTCAAATTTTATTTTCCTTTGTTCTCGGTCATGTTAATGTATGATAATGAGTTTGAAACAAAGGAAAATAAATTTGAACCAAGGATAAAATTGAACTACAACATATACATTAAACTTCCACTCAAAACTGGGAAGTGACTATCATGAGCATAGTTCTTTCGAAGGTAATAATTTCAATAAATTTTTTAATTTCCAGCAGCACCTGAAGAAAGCAGACTACCCAGCATTTTTGACTGGCTACCAGCTCTAATTGATATCTCTGAGCAAATGGATTGTATTAGGAAACTTTAAAAGCTTTGTGAGATCTGGGCTAGTTCAAACCTTAATCTTTCCAAGTATTGAGCTCAGATACCTACTTAGGTCAACTCAAATAATTCAGTTTGATGCTTGCTTAAGACATAAAACACAATTTGTCCAACACATTAGAGTGAGAACAAAGTTGTGGAACACAAAGACAAATTAGTCTAATATCAAGTGTCATATTTGGCACACGAAAAGTTTGATATTTGAATGGAAGTTGTTAGACTGTCAAACTTCCCATGGAAATCACTAAAATCCAACCCACATTGCACAAACTCATAGGAAAAAAAAAGACTAAATGTGATTATATCGGCATAAAGCATTTATAAGTAAACAACATTAGCATATGGTTTTATTTTCTACTTCCTGAAATTGCTTGAAATTTGTAAATGTCTAATTCTTTAAAGGAGTTTGAATGAACTTTTTTGTGGAAATTTTCTGAAAATCGTTTGGTTACTGGGTATAAAGCCAGAGGATTATAAAGCCAGAGGTTAGTTTTACGTGCTAATTATATCCTCTTAGGCTTTTTCCTTTGTGCTTTTTTTTCTTACAAAGATATTATCTCAACCCAATTCACACAAACACTGACCTTTTATGTACTCAACTGAAGGAATTAGACTTCTTACAAAGAGCAAATGAAAAGGTTTAATATTAAACTGGGCCTACATCTATTTTTCAAAAAAATACAGACCGAATTCTATCAAAATTTTTATGCCCTACAGATTTTACCAGCACAGAAAATCAATTCATACATGTAGACGCCATTTATGTCTACAATAACTGGTTTTAATTAACTTCACTATAATTAATCCATTTACTGTCGCTGGAATGCTCACAACCTTACGGTATAAATTAGCAACACATTCCACGTTGTCAGTTGTCAGGAACAAGCTGTATGTGTCTGCCACATCACATATAATGCATATATTAACTTTAGGTCCACCAGTTCAGTTTTACCAATAATTTATAACATTCAGAAATGACACTAGAAGAGAAGGGGTTATCTATGTAAGTGCCTGTGCTACTCAACTTTATCGCGATCATTAAAATTAAACCTTGCAGCTTCTTAAACCCTATCTAAAAACAAATAATCTTTCTAAACATTCACACTTCACAACTTGTGAATTAATAATTGCTTTTTGCGTATAGAGTATGCAGCTTTAAGAGACTCAAAGATATGTCTGCACTTATACTTACCCCTAAATCTTCACCTTTGCGGATCTTTCGAACGACATCCCCCCCTTTCTCGGCAAGATGAATTGCAGTTTTGATCAATTTCTCTATCGATACTGTGTCTTCGCCTTCAAAGTATCTCTGGGAGAATTCCCCACTTCCACCATCTGTGGATAAGTAATAGATTATTGCGACGAAAACAAGTCCTAGAACAACAATTCCGATAGGAGACAGCTTTATTTGTGCAGCTCCCATCGTGGCGATATACGGAGAAACTTTAATACGCTCTTCCACCAACATGAATACTTGGTCCCAACTTTAACAGCCTCGATTTCACAATAAATTAGCCTCGACCTTGAACATCTTGAACTTTAACACGTCACATTTTCACATGATCTCATATCGTCAATGTGATTGGCCAATGTTTATGAAATTGACGAATGGGAGTTCAAAACTAAAGAAGTGAAACGTTGGAACGAATTTCGAACTTGGTGATCACACATTCGTGAGCTTACTTATCGTTTTCCAAGTTAAAATCAGAAATTATCATTTATTGTCTAGACAGCAATTAATCTCTTGTCAAATTTGAAAAATAAGTAGTTCTATTTTAAGTCAGTATAAGCTCAGACTATGGAAGACATCGCAAGGAAGAAATTTACGTACGATCATGTATCTTCGTACAAGGCTCGCGGAAAAGTTGGAGCTTCAGATCGTAATTTTCGAGCTCAGCGTGCAAGTGAAAAACGTCATCTGTCCCGGATGGATGCAATCTCAAAACGAAGGAGAATGCCTCTATCTCCACTTGCCGATGAAAACGTGGTTGACAAGTGTACGACAGCGGGAGAAAACGGTACGTAAACGTGATTGTGGTGGAATATTGAATGTGCTTACTGTTATTGGTATCACAGCGAAATTAGCTGAAGTTCTCCAACAGTAAGTGGTGAAGTTGTTGATTTGTTTTGGATTAAGTAATTATCACTTGATTTCTTTTGTTTTTCATCCTCTTCACTTGTCTGCTTGATATTGTATGAATATTGTAAGAAAAAAATTCCATCTTGGTCACTCAGTTTTGTTAAAGGGTTACCCCTGGTGATTGTAGCATTAGTCACAACTAATAACGTTCTTCCTTAAGGCGATGAGCTTCAGGATAAACCTTCAAAACCACAGCTCAGCAGAAGGGAACAGTTAGTCAAGTGGCAAGAGGAGCGAAAACTAAAGAAGGGTTCTGAGTCCCAGAAAAAGAAGTCTTTTGTGGTGCGTCATGTCAAACACCAAGAAGATGCTGCTCTTTATTCCATTATTTCAGTGAAGAAATTGAACAGAGGACTTACTCAACCAGTTAAACCTGACCCATGTGCTGCCAACAAACCTGACAAACGGGTCACTAGGGCATCAGCTAGGATTGCTACAAAGGAATCAAGTAAAGCAACTAATCTGAAAAGTAATATGGTCAAAAAGGTGGAGCCCAAATCTAAAGCCGCACATAATAATAAGTTAAAGGAAAAGGTTAGTTACTGCATTACATTGTTTTGTATGGAATATAGCACAGGGCTGTCATCTGGCAGATGCCAGGTGCCACAGGCTACCAATATTTGTCTTAGAGAAATTGTTAGTAATAACTGATTTTATGAAAGCTATCAAGACCTTGGCACTCTTGTTTTTTGAGACAAGATAATCCAGGTGTAAATGAAAGGTTGCATGGAAAAACCTTGAGCAGGTAGAAATGGTCTCCTAAATTCTCCTTCCCTCTGCTTTTAATTTCTTTGTAATAACCCAAAGAGAAGTTGATGTTCCATCAAGTTTTAATGGAGCATTTTATTCCAAACATTCCTTGAAGTCACTCTCCAAGTCTGAAAGAGCACAGCTTTGCAGTAATCAGGGTTGCCACGGTCAGGGAAAAGTCAGGGAAAAACAAAAATTTTTCAAGGTCAGGGAAAAGTCAGGGAATTTTACAAAAAGTCAGGGAAAATCTTAGTTCTCGTCAAAGTCAGTGAAAATTCAGTGAATTTTGTTTTGAGGGTTCCACAAAGGTTCTGAAGTAGTCGATCGGGTGTCGCAAATCGGATAGAAAGCTTAAAAGCGACGGAGAAATGTAAAAGTGGATTTGGCCTGTTTGATAATTAATTTAATTCAAGGTCAGTGAAAAATGTTTTGAGGTCAGGGAAAAGTCAGGGAAATTTTTGGGTTCTAATGAGTGGCAACCCTGGTAATGGTTAAGTTTGGAGTTCTGAGTACATGATCATATTTAGAGAAGAACACTGAAGCTTGAGTCCTTCATAAAGTCTGACAAATGACTAAGCCAACTTCTACTTTAACTGACAACTCCCATCAGCTGATACTCAGTTATATGGTCCATGGATGTAAAATCTTTAACTAAATGTATGTGTGTGAAATTTTGACTTTATATTTGTAATCAAGCTTATGCATGTAACATACTGTATTCCTCTTATGTCTGTAACCTTTGCTAGGCTAAACTCAGCTCAGACAGGACTGGTAGGGTCACAGGGCAAAGTGTTCAAATGAAGTCATCTTCAACAGGCAAAAATGTTGCAGTCTCTCAGTTCAGTGAGAAAGGTAAATGAATGAAGAACTTATTTTGGATTTCTTATCTTTGGGCTCACCTTTAAAAAAAAAAAATGGTTTTTCTACTATATTCAATACAAGTTAATTTGTTTCATTTTTGGTACAGCAGAGCCACAGAACCAAGTTAAAACAAGATCTCAAGTCAAGAAACTTCAAGAGAAATTGACAAGAAGTGTTAAGGATACCCAACAAATTTCACTTGAAGGAACCAAACCAGAGTTTACAAAATTGAATTTACCAGCTATGGAAAACATAAAGAATACTGTTTCATTTGGTAGAGGTAGCTCAGAAGGTGTGGAGAGGGGTGTGCAAAATCAAGGATCAGAATTACAGCTGCCATCTCTTGCTCCCAAAGATTTTCAGTTCACTGCTCCTGGTGGCATCAACACCTTCACATACTTATCAAAAACATTCAAGTTTCAACCACTTAGCCCAAAGAGTGCAGCAGAATTCATATTCCCAACATCCGCATCTTCTTTTTTTAGTCCCAACGAGGGCAAGTCAACTGAACCAATGCAGACAGAAAGTACAGCTTGGGCAAACCCTGTGGCAGTTTGTCATATGAATAGTACACATGATGAAAAAGAGCATGGTGGACAACAGATGGATGATCGTAAAGTGGAGAAGTGCGACAGCTCTAACGGCCAGGAAGATAGTCATGTAGACATGAAAAATGGCACTGCATCTTGTCCAACAGATGCCAAAATGATCGTAAACAGCCAAGGACAGTCTACATTAGTCAAAGAAGCAGATGATGTCAGTGATCTAGACTCTCAGCAGGATGCATCATACTTTAGGGATCTTGTGGCAAAGGAGACTGACAGGTTGAATGAAATCTGTTCAAAGTGGGAGAGAATTAATACTGATGAAGAAAATCTCAGTGAGGAAGGTATGGTTTAGAATGTTCTACAGTCTTTCTAAAGTTAATTTCGAGCCCAAATGGTGATTCTATTAAAAATAAGTTTGTTGAATATTCCTTGATTTACCTACATTGACTTTTGCATGTATTTATTGGTGATATAATTCAAGCTTTGGTGAAATAAAACTGTTGTGAAAAAGTAGTTCTCTGATCTGCAACTAGAAATACTAAGGGAATGTTTACACCATTCAGTTCATGCTACATCTCTTGGCAACAGGTGGCACAGTGTTTTGTTAATGATCGCTGTTTCACTTAATCCAAGACCTGACAAAATGGCTGTTACATGTGTATCTCAAAATGTCCCAAATACCAGGAAGTAAAAAAAAATATATATATATATTGCATCTAAGATCAATGTTTTTAATTTCTTTAGTGACTGGGCAAATAAGGACAGTAATTGGACAAGCCCAGCTGTTAATTGATCAGAGGTTTCGTCAGTTTTCTGGCCTCATAGACCTGAGTGAGGTGAGTTAGTTTATGTCCCTACATTAACTTGGTACCAGAAGAAAGTTCCTTCAACCTTCGCTTTTAAGATCTGATTTTTAATTCTCCCCTCTAGTTGCTGCACACTTCTTTGTAATTGGTTATGAGAATTTATAGTTAGATCAAGATAAAAACCTCTACCTGATTAGTTTGAATATTCTCATGGTCTGTTTGCTAGATAATGTATGGATATTTTAGGGAGAAGTTACGTGTTAATCATCTCTGGGAGTTAAAGGGTTAAGGCTTGCCACAACGGCACAGGTAAATCCTGTTTGAACCTGCAGACCACATGGCAAGAACTTTCTCTTTATATAGTGCATTTGAATTTCAAAGTGAAGTAGTCAAGTGAATTTATGAGAGCACTTGTTCACAATGAACACAATGAATGTGCCTGCCTATGATGTAGATGACATTTTTTATTGGAATTTACTGGCTCTACTTCATCATTCTTGGAACATGATCTGTATGTATTGCTTGTGATTTTTTTTGTAGCTTGTAAGAAGTAAAGTTTTTATGTAAAACTTTTGTTTTCTGTAGGACAAAACTGCTGAAAAGCAAGCCACTGCCTCTGACCTCCAAGGCTTCTGGGAAATGATCTATTTTCAGGTAGCTATATGAAGTATATAATTTACCTTTTTTTTTTTCTAAATTCTGTTTGGTAGAGAACATATTAGGTATTCTTTGTTAAACCTTTCAGGTTGAAGACGTGAATGCTAAATTTCATGCACTGGAGAAGTTGAAAGAAAACAATTGGCAAGAAGAAGAAATGAAGACAAAAAAATCCTTGAAGAAGACTAAAACAAAGGTAGCTTTGTAACCACGGTAGCACATATGAAAGTTTTAAAGTTTTCCTGTGTCAATACAAGTTAAGGTTATCTCAGTATAAAGAATTATTTTAAAAAGATGGTGCAATGGTTTGGGAAGTCTACTTTTCAATGGTTTATGTCCCAGATGAATGTGCGCTTTTCATGGACATGCATAACTGAAGTTACAGGCTAGCTAGAGATGTCAAGTGCATCACGTGGTATTAATTGTTACCCCTGAGATCAGAATGGAAGTTCTTCATACTGGTCTCTACATATATTTTCTATGATACTGGCAAGGAGAATTTGTTTAACAATCAAGAGCTTCTTTAGTTGGTGACCGTTTCCTGTGTTGTTTGACCTTAATGTTCGATTTAAAAAAAAATCTCATCATCTTTAATAGTAACATCCTCGTGAGGTTTTTCAGAAACTATTTACAAACTTTTTACAATTTATAAAAACATAAATGACGATAAAACTCATGGTCAGAATTTAAGATATATTCCACCAAGTTCTAGAGCTTATAAAGGAAATGTCTGATTTAGGGTGATAGTGTAGAGTAAAATTAGGTGCTTGTCACTCTTAGAAGTTGAAGGGTTGCTAAGCTTCTTGTTCATTGCAATTATGTTTTAAGGAGAGATTAATTTTGATTTGGTACCGATTAGAAACTGCCCGCGAATGTTGGCGCTAAAGTTGACAACAAAGCGGCTGCGACAAGAAACAGAATTCAAGAAATGAGAATGGCAATGAAGGCAAAGATGGCTGAAGAAAAGGAGAAATTAAGAGCCGAAAAACGACATCAACAGGTAAACGTTTTAATTTCTTGTTTCATGTAGCTGCTCATGTAGATCTATCAAAAGGATGCTGGAAACAAACGAAGGTTCCTGGCGCGAGAAACGCAATGGATTGCTGCGCACGCACACACTTGCCCTTGAGACAACTTCGTGGAAGAAATACACCAAAAAAAGTAACCAACACCAGTTACAGAAAATAATTGAATGTCTCAGAGAGAAAAATGAGCGAGGTTGCGTTTGATGGCAAACAGTACCATTATGGAGAATTACACGTATTTCGGAAAATTCCGTGCTAAATGGCTGTATTAGAAGTCGTAATTTGTGTTCTCGTTCTGTTGGTCAAATAGTCAGGTTTTCTTTGATTTTAATCCAATTTAGGAAGAGGCTTTTGTTACTATTCTAACGCCTGTGAAAAAGAGCAAAAGAAATGGTAAGTTGCTTGACAAAGACAACTGTCTATCTTCTGTATTTTATAACTCTGTAGGCGGATTCAATCTTGCCCACGGTCAAATTGCCCACCAAGCCCGAACTCATCCAGGTTTCCACTTTACGAAACGACCAAGAAAAGTGCCAAACCCAGATGGGATACAGGTTCTTGATTGGTTGAAAATCCTTGCATTTATTAGTCAGGCTTTCCCCTAAGCTTGCTGGTACCCGCTTTGTTCCCAGGGTCCTCTATCGTCTTTCTTCATGAAAAGAAGAGAGAGGAACCTGGGACATGGCCGGCCGCTATCTTGACCCGACGCCTGACTGGGAATCCCTTGGAGACAAGGATGAGTTTGGAGAGAGGCAGCTGCTATCGGCAATTGTCTTACCCAAGAACACCACGCACCGGCCAGAGTTCAGCGCGCATACTTTCGTGTTTCAAACATGGGAGTTGATAACCAAAGGAATACATCACTGGCAATTAAAACTGAAACGCCCGGGAAGTGGAATTTGTTGACGTTTATAAACAGTAAGCTACACCTAAAAAGGCGAATATTTTATTGTTTGGCGTGCAACGTGTATTTGTTGTGTCATGACCTTGTTCAAATGTGTTGCAGATGGTAGCGATGAGGTGGTATTAACACCAGTGCGCCGATCCATCCGTAAGACGCCACAGTTACGTGTTATGGCTGGTAACAGCACGCCCGTGATAGTGACCACACCCAAGATTATCAGTGAGGACAGCACTAGGCTAAGACTTACTCCAGACAATGGCATTCAACCGAGCGAAATGGTTGTTACAGGAACTAGAATGAAACTTGAAGAACCAAGCGAGGAAAGTGTGTGTGAAATGGAGTGCAAGAAAGAAGACGACGAAATGCATTGCGATTTCGAACAGGGGAAGCAAGAAGTTTTAAAATCTGCTTGTAAAACCACACAGGACAAACCTCGAAAGACACCAGGAAAAGTTACTTTCCAATCGCCCGGTCATGAGATCACACCTGCATGTGCAGCTCACGAAAGAGTTGGTAGTCCGATGGAGACCGCTGATGAAGATAATGCAAACTCGGGCGAAAGCAAAGCTAAGAGGTTAACCCCGCGCCGTTTCTCGGCGCGCAAATGCCGCAGTCGGTCAGGAACACCTTATTACCAGCAGAGGCCTCGACGAAGAGTCTCTGCTATCCACGAGGGTGATCCACGCGGAACAGAAAGCACAGAATGCAGCTCATCCGAATCTGACGGCGAAGCCAAACCAACAACACAGTGCCCCAGGTCGGGATTGAGAAGGTCATTGAGGAGAACGCCTTCTAAATACCGAGATTCAGCGCCTTTGGAGACTGCGATTGCGGGAAAGGTAAGGTTTTAAGTTCGATGTATCGGGGCAATTTTTTCAATCGAGTGTCGAAATTTGTCCGGGATTACTTTGGTGTTGTCTAACTTCGTTGCGTGAATGCTCTGGAAAACTAGCGCTACCCTCTTCAATTCTTGAGCTTCAGGCTTCGGAGTAGCGATATTTGATTTCCTTACATACATGCATACATACATACATACATACATACATACATACATACATACATACATACATACATACATACATACATACATACATACATACAA